TCTCCTAAAAGGTATGGAAAACCCAAATGCGATCATCCATTGTGTACATTTAAATAGAAATTTTGAAAAGCAGAGTGTAATATGCTTTTTAATTTAAATTTTTTTTTAAAAAACACATATGTTTTTCTTTTTTGGTCCAGAATTTAAACCAGACTTAGATTAGAATTAGAATCAAATGGCAAACTCTTACATCACATTAACCTATTCTGGTAATACTTTACCTCCCAACCACATCATTTGTCATTGTTTTTCTTTTTTTTAAGGGATCATAAATTTTTTTTGCATGGTTTTTAAAATTTAAAGAAAAACCAAAACCCCTATTTTAAAAAAAAAGCGTTTTTTTTTCAAATCCGGGGCCCCAAAGCAGTTTTAAAACAAGAAAGAAAATTTTGTTTAAATCGCTTATTATAAAACCCCCTTATTAACTAAGTTAGGTCGTATGAAAAAAACTTTTCACTTAAAAATTTGGACCTACTTGAATTTTGGGGTTTAAATTTAAACATCATTGCCCTTATAAAACCAAAAACACCTGTACCCCCGGGGAAAATGGGGGGACCTTGGCTTTTTTGACCAGCAAAAATTTTCCTTGGGGAAAGGGCGATCGGATAAGGGTTTAAATTCCCCCGGGAAAAGTCCCCCCAGTGCTGCGTTTTTAACACCGAGTAGCGAAACCCCCAATGTTACAAATTATTAAGGACTACTTTAATTTAATTTGTCATCATTTTTTGAAACTTTAATTTCCCCGGACAAAAAAATAAATTAAAAAGGGAAACTTTTTTGCCCTTTGCCCTTTTGTCTGATAATCATAACAAATAAAATTTTAGGAGAAAGTTTTGGGGGAAATAATATACACATGTACTTCCTGGTCACACCCGTGTTTTTCCTTCCCGGACATAAATGTTTTACTTTAAAACTTTTAATTTCATGAGCCCCCTTTGGAATTAATAAACCCGTTGACCCCCTTTTTTTAAAATTTTAGTTATAAGTTTTAAAAGTTTCCCCCCAAAATTTTTTAATTTTTTTTAAATTTGGCGGTTTTAAACACCGTATGTTAAATTCAGAATTTGCCACCAAATTGGCTGTAAAAAAAAATTGAATGTTTGAATGGTTTTAATAATTAAATAAAAAGAAATTTTGTTAAATTAAAACGGTAGGGGAAAAAGGGAAGGGGTTTTCCATTTTAAACAAAATTTTTGGGTATTTCAAAAATTTTAGTTTTATGAAAATTTGAAATGCGAAAATACAACATCCGAGAAGGGGGAAAAGATTCATTAAAGAATTTTTAAAAAAAATAAATCCCCTGTGAACCTGTCGACCCGAAAACATTTTGTTTATTTTACACTATTTCAAAGGGCCCCCAAAAAGACAAAATACAATCTGTTACAAGGGATAGTCAAAATCCTCAACCGAAGTGGGGTGGGGAATTTTACCAATGAAATTTTTAAATTTTGCATGGTTCTTTGGATTACCCGTCAAATTTTTTTAACTTTGGTCTTTTGGTTTCGCAATTTATTTTTTTTTATTGGGATACATTAAAGCCAAGTTTTTTAAAATTCCTTTTATTGATGAAAAAAAATTAAATTTTCGCACACAAAATATTCCCTAGAACAGACCATGTTAAGTTTTGGAACTCGATGTGTGAGTGGGAATCTGTCTGTTGCATATGATACATGGTCCCATTATTGTGAAAATTTGTGTCAAGCAATTTCAAAATCCCTCAAACAATACAAAACGTTTTGGACTGCACACACAATACCTCCTATCAAATGTTTGACCTCTAAGTGCGGCCTTATCTTTGGAGATAAGGGCCCGGGTGTTGTGCCTGACACATCGTCTTATTATTGCCAACATTTATGCCAAGTGATTTCAAAATCCCTAGGTGGATGAGAAAGTTATGGACTGGAAACAAAACATACCCTATAACAAACTATGTTAATCTTTGACCTCCAGCAGTGACCTTGACCTTGGAGATAGGAAACTGGCTTTTTTTGCATGACACATTGTCTTGTTATTGTGAAAACGTGTGCCAAATAATTTCAAAAATCCCTGATCTTTAAAGAAGTATAGACCGTACACAAAATATACCCTGTAACAGACTATGTTAATCTTTGACCTCACTGTGACATTGACCTTGGAGGTAGGCATCTGCTTGTTTTTTTGTTTTGTTTTTTGGTGTGTGTTTTTTTTGGCGCATGCCACATTGTCTCATTATTTTGAACATTTGTGCTAAGTATCTTTTAAATCCCGTCATGGATAAGAAAGTTATGCACACGATCTATACCCTCAAATAGACAATGTTGACATCATCAAGTGTGACCTTGACCTTGGAGGTATGGGTCCGGATCTTGCGCATGACACATCATCTTATTATAACAAACATTTGTACCAAATTATTTTAAATTCCTTTGTTCGATTTTTTTGGCAATATTATGGCTCATCTGGGGGTATACAGCTTTAAATAAAGATCCTGATCTGGTTATGTAATATACTCCTCCTCGGCTCGTCCAGTTGAATTGACCGTCAACAATAACCAATATGGCTGCTTAACTTAAATTGAATACTTTCTATGTCATCATCAGTTGATTTGTGTGTTTGTAGAAACGCCTGGCTATATGTATATGTCTTAGACTTCAAAATCTGTACGAAAAACGTAAGTTTTTTTGTACTTGCAAGAAATAGTCCTAATGTACGTGTATCAATTACAATCCTAAAGAATAATGGACCTATATCTGATTATCATGAACACAGTCAACAAATTATAGTACATTAATTGTTTTCTATTTTATAGTCAAGTCAGCTTTGTTTCGCTTACAAAAATAGTCTACACAAATGCATCGTTTTTGGATTGACTAAGAGCTTAAATTATGTTGTCGAACTGACTAACTTATTCCATGAGTTTTTCAAAATATTGATGAGAACAATAGAAATGTGTCATTTGGATAGTCTTATGAAATACTTGTATATTGAGATTATACTTGTCTAACAATTAATGAATATGTCTCGACAGTATTATAAATGTTTCACTATATGCCGAAAACAAAAGTACAATGTACAGTTTCTTGTAAACCAGCACCAATCTATTTCCGAGCAGCGGGAAGTAAATACATGTATATAGAATGCAGCTTCATTTATTTTAAATATAATCCAAAAAAGGAAAGAAAATCAACATAAAATACAATGTACTTATCAATGTGAAACAATTTAAGACCATATTAATCTTGATAAAATACTACGTCATTTATTTCACGGAAGAAATAACTACTTACGGACCAATGTGCAACAGAAAGTGGGGAGGAGAACGGTGAATGTTAGAAAGTTTAGTAAGAGCACCAGACTTCCTAACACGAAAGGAATAGGTTCGAATCTTCAACAGAGTTAGATTATTTTCTCGACTACTTCCCATAGTCCTAACATTGGAGCGATGTTTGATTGTGGTTTTTTACGTCACAAACCGACACAGTTTTAGGTTTTATTTGGGACTTCCCAGGATTTATCTTGGTGGAGGAAGACCTCAGGTGCAAATTCGTGCATTATTTTCGGCACGAACGGGCAGCCTAAGGGCCTAGCTGGATAGTTCCTAAACCATGAAAAAATCCAAAGTCCCTAACCCCTCAGGGTGGGGGGGCAAGTGTTTTGAAGTCAATAAAATTTAACCATCGGCCATTCGGAAAAAAAATTTTATCTTTTGCGACCCTTGGCAGCATAATAATTATCATTTTTTCAACGGTTTCAAAAAAATTCAAAAATTTGAACCAACCCCAATTAACGAAATTACAATTTTCAAATTTTTTCAATCCCCAAAAAAAAAATTTGTTTAAATTAAAGTGGGGGTTTATTTTGTTCATTAACCCCCTTTGATTTTGGGTTAACGCAAAACATTTATTTGCGTCTTTTAAAAATGAAAATGACGTCCGTCAAAAATTTTATGCACGGCCCGTGAAATTTAACCTTTTTTTTACGAAGTGAAAAGCAACACGGGGTGTGGGGAAAAATTTTTTTAAAAACTGAGCTTTCTGTATGTAAAATTTGTACGTTTACATGTAAAATTAGAAAAATATGAGGTACATGTGTATGAAATAAAACAAGACTGTTCAGAGGTTCAGTTGAGTTCACTCTATAGGTTTCACAAACTGCACTCCACATGAGCACCTCTGTGGCACTTTAATTGTGCAACTCTTAAAAGTGCACTTCAAAAAAAAACTAGAGGTATACACTCGGACCATAATGCACTGAAGCTTGATTGGGGACAACAATTAACGACTACAATTAAAGCAAGTCATAGAAATTGTTGATCCAGACCTGAATTAGTCTCCCAAACACTTTTTTTTTTATTTTCAACCTTGCGGATGTCATAAGCTTGGGAGGCTGTCCCATACCGGCGCACCCTCAAACCTAAAAGAGTATACTGCATGTTACATGTACGTACTTTTGACACTTGGTGCATATAATGTAAATCTACCTTTTTGATATCTAAAAGAGTAATTAAACTATATCATTTTTATATGGTGGTGATTTTTAGTTCGGCACTTTAACAAAACACTTCTTCGGCTATAGTTTTGATTATTGATAAATGTTAGAGTAGGCATATAATTTACTTATTTCTAGATACAGACAATTAAAATCATTTTCAAATTCAATATGGTAGTTGCTTTACGGGAATCTGGTGTCACTCCCTACAACATTTCTTAATAAAAACATCAAGAAAACACGGCACACTCTTATAATCGATGTAAAAGTTAAAGGCTAAAGTTTCATTTCATACTGCTGGGACTTAAGTCCCTATCAATATTATGACAATTTATTTTTTAAAAAAGCCTGCGTTTTTGTTTTTGATTTCTCATCTTCTTCTTTCCTAAATCAACAGGGATTTTCACGTGCTGCTTATATACATTTTTCAAGTTATAATCCATTATCTTTTTAATTTTTTTTTTACATTCTAAAATGTTATTATTTTAACATCTATTCTTGGCCTAACATTTTTGGGCTTTATACCTGTCCGCTTTACGGAAATTGACGGAGTTTTCCGATGTCGGTTGCCGTAGCGATGTTTACAAAATGGCGACCCTCCCTGGAATAAAATATGATGACGGTTTACCTGCAATCTCAGCTAACTGCTTCCCTGTCAGAACATTTTTGAGACACGATGTGACAGAGGAAGGTAAAATCCATACAGTTTCTGAAAAACATTTCCTTTAAGATGTTTGTATTTCGAGAAATATTATTTTATGGTTAAATTAGGACGAAGTTGCAATTTTTCGGATATTCAGAATACTCGGATAATATATCATCACTTATGCGCTTAAAAGTTTCCTATGATAATTGAAATGTTAATAGCAATGTAATAAATATGTACTGATGATCTTTTTTAGCTGATGGGGCATGGCTTGTTGCCCAGAGAGCGGAGCAGCGAAAGAGATTTAAAGCCATTCTCTGCACAAAGCCAAAAACATATGCACGTATTAAAGAAGAAAGACGGAGAGCTGAGCAGCAAGGAACAACCATAAGTGAGCAACTTCAAGCTGCAGATGATCATGAAGAAGAGGAAAAAGATGTTCCTATGCTAGATGGTTTCTTTTTAGTATGTGTGATCAGGAATATTCTTAATTTTGGTGTAAATTCTTAATGTAGTCGGTGTAAAAAGCTCATCAGAGCTTATGTTTATTGTTGATTGATTGATTTTCTTTAGACCGGGCGGTCAAGGATAACCTACAAAAGTGCAAGCACTTATTTCCAGTAAGTCCTTAACTCAGCAGACACTAGAGACAGCTATGAGATACAAGGAAATCCGGGAACCAGTCCCTAGCTCTTATTGAATAGATTCCTTGGTTCTTTTACATGCCCAGTGTATAGCACTGATACATGCGAGGATTACCTGGGTTTCCTACCAGTAAACCTCTAGTTAGGTGGGAAACACTGAAAGTGTTTCTGAAAAATCCCAAGGGTGTTACCCAGGATGGAACCCGAAACCTCAGGAGTGACAGTCAGTGGTCTAACCAACTGAGCTATCGCGCCACCTTGATGTATCCGACTTGTAAATAAAATTTACTTGACTTGACTTGACTTGTCAAAATTGCAGCACTCATTTTTTCTGTGAAAATACTTGAATAAGACATTGTTGCCATTTGATGCCACAGGGTCTTTCTAATAGAATAGTCTTGAGTTGGACCAATTTTAGGAAAAAAATGTCTCGGCTGAGTCATGTTTTTAGGTTATTTACGGGCTGTAATCTGGCATATATGTAGTACAACACCGTTCAAAAATCAAATTATAAGATAATGTTTTGTTAAATCGAATAAAAATTACTGGCTACATTACATTAAAAGTTTTAACTTAAAAAAGTAACAATTTTATAGATTTGCAATGAAATTAAGAATTTTTCATTCCCAGTGACACTGCTCATATCTGAATTATCTGAGTTTCATAAGCTTTTTTTAAATTTATGCATAGTTCCATGAGAAAATAGAAATCGATTTTACAGAGAAAAAATGTTATTTAATAGTATCATGTAAAGATAAAATGACATTTCATGTTGTTATTTAAAAATATTTTATGTTTAATATAGTGCATTTTCAAAATGGAACTGGTTGTCGGCAAGTATTCTGAATAAGCAGCAATCTATGTTTTTCAACAGACCACAGCTTAAAAAATATTATTTTATGAAATATTTTTCTTTTTTTCACAAATTAAAAGATTTTTTTAAGAACATCATGTTGTTAGAAATTTCATTTTTTGTTCTTGTATTTAATTTTCGCCCTTTTCTTAAACATTTACATTATTTGCATGTTTCAAAAATACCTAGTTATACCGAGACATGTTTAATTGTAGCGAGAAAGGTTTACATAGCACATTTCAAGACCATTCTATTTGAAGGACCCTGGATGACAGTATCTGTTTCCCAAATGGGTTTCATGAAGTCAAGTCATTAGTCTTGATCAAATTTTTTCATATTGTAACACACAAAAAGCTTTTTAAGTATGTCACCTATGTGCTATATCCATTTTATATACATTACAATTAGCAGATAAGTAAAATGAGAGTCAAGCTTGCATTTCATGAAACAATTCAAATAATGTAATTTGTTTTTCATATTTTCAGATGCGCCATTGCTGTGTGGATGACCCATCAGATCTTTGTTCTGTAAATATTTCTGGGAAAGAAATGACCGATGTAAAGGAGGAAGATTTAGCCTTATTTGATAATGTGGCTTACGTAAATGCTAGTGAGAACTACCTACCATTGGGTGTGTAACACAATACAGTTATATTTACATTTGATTCTTGCATTTAAAAAATTGTTTTTGGTTTAACATATGTTTGTAACAGTATTTCACTATTTCAGTGAACATTAAACTATACTGATAATTGCCATGAAATAATCTAGTGAAAATTGATACTGTAGATTCATATACAATAAGTATAATTGTATGTACTATGTGTAAATGTTTGTTCAAATGCCTCAAGGATTTAGGAAGGTAGGATTTATTTTATCAAGTTAACTTTGATAAATAATGTATATTAAATTGACTTAATTTTATTTAAACCATAGATTTGTTTATTATATACTTTTAAATGAAATATTGAGAAATATTGATGAAATAAAATGCGTATTTTTATTATCCGTATTTTCACTGTAAAAATTTATTTTTCACTGCAGTGAAACATATTTTCCGTATTTTCACTGGTGACCTGCCGGACTACTTTCTTTTAAATTCTGCCAGTACTCAAAATTTAAGGGAAAGTCTTTCAAATTTTAATGTCCAGAAAGAGAAAAATGTATATAATAAACAGAAAATTCAAGTTTTTTCTATAAATACATGATTTATTTTCATCTTGTGGCATGAAAATACCATATTTCACTCGTGGCTATCGCCACTCATGAAATATTTATTTTCATACCACTCGATGAAAATAAATCATGTATTTATAGAAAAAACTTGAATATCCTCTATTTACTTTATTCTTTTTTGATGTATATCTTGATAATATAACAATAAAATAATGAAATAAACAGTTTGTTTGCTGAGATTTAAAACTTAAACATTTAAAAGATGTTCTAATTATTTGTTTTATTGATTTAATCTTCAGAGGCATTTAGAGGTTTTCCAATATTAAGAGAACTTGAGATGCCCCTGAATGCATTGAGGAGTATCAGACCTAACATTGGTGATTACCCATTACTTGAGGTATATTTTCAATGTGTATTTATATTTTTTCATTCAACTAATGTTATAATCTGTGTGATATTTTAATTTGGCCAGCCTGATCCTTGATCTACAACAAAAGTTGAAAATGTTTTCTGATCATATCAAGTAAGAATCATCTTTCATTTTCTGAGATTCTCCATAGCCCATACTGCCATAGCACATGTTTTAATTAATTTGTTGTGCTTAATTGATACAATTTCCTTTATGCATTTTCTTTTTAACAGGTGCTTGACGTCTCTTACAACAATTTATCACAAGATGATATTCTTACCCTGGGACTACTTTCTAACCTCAAAGTGCTTCACCTCACTGGCAATGGACTGGTTTCCCTGCCACCTAACATGGCAATGCCTCATTTTGATGAAAAAACGTGAGTGAATGATTCTTTTTTTCTCTGCTCCTTTAACATTTATTAAATGTATGTCACCAGTATAGTGCAGTCTTATAAGGTAGAAGGCTTTATACCTGAAACCACTTAACCATATAATAGACTGATACATATTCAAATCTGGAAAAGTTCATTTTAGATATTTTAGCAGGTGAATGTCATCAAGTTTATGTATTACTTGCTAGTTGCAGAAATTTCATACTCAGCTTTAGTCTTCTATCTTGCTGTCAATATATATGTTTTAAAACTGTAAAGTGGACAAATTAATCAAATTGCATATTCTGTCAGTATGCAATAAAAATTGAATCATTGAATTCGGATGAAAATACAACAAATCATGCATAATATTATTAGTAACTCTTTTATAGATATCATGAACTTAAGGTACAGTTATTCATCCAGAATGTGTTTAGATCAGAATAAAACTTACATTTAATGACCTTTTTAGCTTTACTTTTCGCAGAATAATCGAGCTAATGCAGTCACCCATTTGTCGGCGTCCCTGTGGTTAAGTTGTAAGCTGGTATCTCCATAACTACTGAAGGAAATGTATTGAAACTTCACACACTTGTTCTCTGTGATTATCTAAGATGATTGGCACAAGTTCCATAACTCTGTTTTGCTTTTTTACATAATTATGCCCCTTTTTAGACTTAGAAATTCTTGGTTAAGTTTTTGCGTGTAAGCTGGTATCTCCATAACTACTGAAGGGAATGGATTGAAACTTCACACACTTGTTCTCTGTGATTATCTAAGATGATTGGCACAAGTCCCATTACTCTGATTTGCTTTTTTACATAATTATGCCCCTTTTTCGACTTAGAAATTCTTGGTTAATTTTTTGCGTGTAAGCTGGTATCTCCAAAACTACTGAAGGGAATGGATTGAAACTTCACACACTTGTTCTCTGTGATTATCTTAGATGATTGGCATAAGTCCCATAACTCTGTTTTGCTTTTTTTACATAATTATGCCCCTTTTTAGACTTAGAAATTCTTGGTTAAGTTTTTGCGTGTAAGCTGGTATCTCCATAACTACTGAAGGGAATGGATTGAAACTTCACACACTTGTTCTCTGTGATTATCTAAGATGATTGGCACAAGACCCATAACGCTGGTTTGCTTTTTTGCATAATTATGCCCCTTTTTCGACTTAGAAATTCTAGGTAAATTTTTGCTTGTAAGCTGGCATCTCCATAACTACTGAAGGGTTTGTACCTTTTCGGACAATTTTATGTTTTCATATAGGTAAGCATTATTATACTCAATGAAACACCCTTGTGACAACTTTTCGAATAGTCGAGCGTTACTGTCCTCTGACAGTTCTTGTTGTATAACTAGTATATATCAATATTTTATTTTCATTGATTTTCTGACATATATTTTGAATTTTGAATACTTCATAAATTTTTAACAAATCATGCATAATATTATTAGTAATTCTTTTATATTCAGTAAGACAGAGCATTTGAGGTTTTCCAAGTTGGAAATTTTACTGCTGGATGATAATAGATTAGAGGATGTGTCTGTCTTTGCTGCTCTTGCTGGATTGTCAAGGTAAGACTCAAACCATTGATGATAGATTTAATGTTTTCATGGTTTTCTTATTTCATAAAAGTTAAACATTTTGTAAGATATAGAAATTCTTAAAGTTTGAAACATGGGAAATACAGATTTGTGATTAATTGGGAACTTAAGAAATATTGGGATAGAGACATGAAATTGTGAAGATCATGGGAAAACAAATGGACTAATATCATGAACTTATTAAGGTACAATTGGGATATGTTATGTGCAAATATATTTGAAACATCAACACATTTACAAAAAGAAATACATATTGTATATTGTATACACCTTTGTCCATCTCAAGAGTAAATGCTGCTATGATACTTGAAGAAAATCATTATAATACAATTTTGGTATAATATGTCCTCTGGATTCACTTACAGTTATCATATACATGTGAAACAACTTGATCATAAAAATTCAAAAATAGAAACAAATTTACTACTGTTTGTAAAAATATTATAAATTGTATTTTCAGTCTAAAGCACTTAAATCTAGAGAAAAATGAATTATACTATGTCCCAATGTTGAAATCCATAGAAGGAAAATTGGTTCAAAATGAGAGCGAGAAGGATGCGAGGAAATTACGAAGATCAGCTGAGAAAGAAGGCAGGAGATCTGCCCGAGGAACACGATCCAAGGACCCTACTCCAAGACATCCGGTTGAGAAGAAAGAAAGGGAGGGAACTACTGATGCTCCACTACCTACACCAGTACCCACCGGGGAAGATTCACAGAAAGGGTCGGGGAAAATGGAAGGGGATTCTTCTGTTCAACCAGGTAAGATCGTGTTATGATTTATGATGACAACACTTTTGAGAATAAATTCGTAGGAAATATAACATTAAACTTCAGGCTTTGAATTTGAAAGGCTCTGAAGAGGCTATATTAAATCATTTTGAGTCCAGTATCTATACTTCTTTAAATCTTAATTCAAGACAACATAAACTGTTGTACCTTTAACAAATAAAACATGGCCTTGAGGGCAATATGCAAGTTTACGGACTGATTGGTCAGACTGAGGAAGGTATATGGCCCGAAGGGCAGCTGAGGAACATATTCCTTCCGAGGTCTGACCAACCAGTCTGTAAACATGCATTTTACCCGAAAGGCCATGTTCTATTTGTTATATTATACCGAATCTAAATCCTTTAATCCCTTTTGTTGCTGTAATGTTTCCTATAATTTGCGTTCAAATGGTCAGTGTGTGAAATATCTCAAACCCTAGTCAGATATTTTAGCTCGACTATACGAAGTATATGGAGAGCTGTCCTACTCGCCCCGGCGTCAGAGTCCGCGTCCAGATTTTAGATTAAAGTTTTGGTGCAGTAAAATATTTTTCACTATAACTTTGTCATTTCTTAAGGTATCAACTTCAAACTTCAAATATATGTTCCTTATCATCAACCACATCTTATGTGACAAGGTTCATAACTCTAGCACCAATATTTTCAGATTTATCTCCCCTTGAACTTAGAATTTTCCTCAAAAAATACTATTTCTTACTGTTTCTTCTTTATTTCTTAAGGGATCAACCTCATACTTCAAATATATTTATGTTATCATCATCCCCATCTTATGTGACAAGGTTCATAACTATAGCACCAATATTTTCAGATTTATCTTCCTTTGAACTTAGAATTTTCCATAAAAAATATTATTTTTTACTGTTACTTCTTTATTTCTTAAGGGATTAACCTCATACTTCAAATATATGTACCTTATCATCATCCCCATCTTATGTGACAAGGTTCATAACTCTAGCACCAATATTTTCAGATTTATCTCCCTTTGAACTTAGAATTTTCCATAAAAAATATTATTTTTTACTGTTACTTATTTATTTCTAAAGGGATCAACTTCATACTTTAAATATATTTACGTTATCATCATCCACATCTTATGTGACAAGGTTCATAACTCTAGCACCAATATTGCAAGAATTATCTCCCCATAAACTTAGATTTTTTAGCTCGACTTTTCTATGAAAAGGGGAGCTATCCTACTCGCCCCGGCGTCGGCGTCGGCGTCGGCGTTGGCGTCACACCTTGGTTAAGTTTTTCGTACCACCCCACTTTATTTCAGAAGTATTACAAGTATGGCTTTGAAACTTACCATACTTGTTCACCATCATAACTTCCATCTACAGACAAGAGTACATAACTCTGTCAAGGTTTTTGACAGAATTATGGCCCTTTTTTGACTTAGAAAGTGTATTGAGCTTGGTTAAGTTTTTTGTACCACCTCACTTTATTTCAAAACCATTGGAGGTATTGCTTTGAAACTGACCATACTTGTTTACCATCACGACCTTCATCAACAGACAAGAGGACATAACTCTGTCAAGGTTTTTGACAGAATTATGCCCCTTTTTGACTTAGAAAATACATTGAATATGGGTAAAATCCACTTATTGCCTTAACCCTTTGAGATATTGCTTTGAAACTTTTAATGCTATTTCACATCATTACCCCCATCTGTACGCAAGAGAAGGTAACTCTGTCAAGGATTTGTTTTAAAAATTAAGGCCTTTTATCGACTTAGAATCTTGGTTAAGTTTTTAGTACCAGTCCACTTTTTGACTGAACTGTTTGAGATATTAATTTGAAAGTTGGAATACTTGTTTACAATCATGATTCCCAAACATGTCCAGGAGAAGGTAATTCTGTCAAAGATTTTATTTGAATTATGGCCCTTAACTGTCAATGTTTTGTATTATAGCCCTCTTTTGACTTAAACATTTCAAACTTTGCTGCAGTGTTCAAGGGTATCACACAATTCAGTAAAATAATTCTTCACTAAATATCTTAATACTCATGGCCATTGTTCACTTTAAAAATACAGAGATTCTTGTATTGCCTTTTACTGCAAAAACTTTTTTTATTGGCAAGCAATAAAAAAGTCGAGCGCGCTGTCTTACGGACAGCTCTTGTTTACTAGTAAAATGTTATTTTTTATTATAACTTTTTTATTTTTAAAGGTATCTACCTCAAACTTCAAATACTTATTCCTTATCATCAATTACATTTTATGTGACAATGTTCATAACTCTTGAAGCAATATTTACAGATTTATCTCTCTTTGAACTTAGGATTTTCTTTAAGAAATATAATAACTTCTTTATTTGTTAAGGTATCTACTTCAAACTTCAAATATATATTTCTAATCATTACACAAATGTTGTGTGACAAGGTCCATAACTCTAGCATGACTATGTCTAGAATTATTCCCCTTGATCTTGGAATTTATGTTAACAAATGTTATTTTTTTACTATAACTTAATACATAATTATACATAATTGATTTTTCTTTCATAGTTTTGTCCTCCTTACTGCATCCAGTATTTTATTAGTCGAGCTTCGCTGTCTCCTGTGACAGCTCTTGTTATAATTATTTTCAAGCAAATCAGCAAAAATAATCGTGCTCTTCTTTTGTTATTCAATTTTTGTTAATCAAATTAAACAGGCGGAAAAAAAACGAACTTTAAGATATTCACAAACTGTATAGATAAAATTTATAATCAATCTAAAGACAAATCATGACTTTTGTTTAACATGTAATAAATTAATGTGAAACAAAACAATAAATTCTGTAAAAAGAATCATTTAACAACAAAATAAAATATTATACCTCATTTGCATACGCCCTTCTACATTTAATATGACATCATCCAGTCCATATAAGAATTATGGACCGCCCCGGTCTGTATGCGGTTTATGAACTGGATGACGTCACGTTAAATATAGAAAAGCGTATGCAAATGAGGTATAATATTCCTCTTTATGTCATGAGATTTAAGTTAGAGCAGATATATAGAACATATATAACAGAAATATAGCTTTATACACTTTAATGTTTTACATGAAGTATTCTTTAACTCATTGTAACTCAAGTTCAAATCTTAATGTTTTACCTGAACTGAAGGACTATATAGATTATGGTTTAAATCAAATTTCGTTTAAATTTTCAAGATATGTACTTTATAATAATGTTTATTACAAATTTTTTTAAGAAGCATTTTATGTGTTAAAGGGATATTCAGGCAAAGTAATGACAAAAATATTAAAATGATCTTATGTACTCAAATCAAGCTAAAATGACTTTTCTTGAAGTTTCTGCATGAATTTCTGTTTAAATTCTATATAGTTTGGGTTTGAAGTGTAAATATGTCTATATATGTTGAACAAAATTTAGACGCCAATAGAATCACCAAATAGTTTTTAAACAAGTCAGGTGACTTGAATAAACCCTTGAAGTTACAACAACAGATATTGTGGATATTCTATGATTGAAGCAAGCCTAAGTCATTCATTTGACATGTTCTTTTACGTTTCCAGAGTTCACTTTGACAACTATTGTGAAATGCTACCCTCTAACCTGACCCACGCGGGTCAAGTTAGGAAACCACCATTTTATTCTTTATATGGAGAAAGGTTTTGTTCCTTTGACTGTCTAATATATTTATTTTGATGGCATTTACAGAATAATGAATGAAAAATTAAAAACTAAGAAATGAAAATTTTGCCTGTGTCTCCCTTTAATTACAGATTTATTAAAGGAGGATTTTACAGATTTGTCACGTCAGATTACTGACATTGATTTAGAGAAGGAGATAACTCTACCAGTCACAGATGAAGGCAATAGACCTCTTGGGGATGGTTCTGGATTACCTCCCTTTCCAGACTTGAGGGCTCTCAATCTTGCCTATAACAAGGTAAACCTTGAATAATTTCCTCCTTTTTATGCTCCCCGAAGGGTGAGCATACATGTATAGTCGCCACTTTGTCTGTCCGTCCATCTGTCTGCTTTTCTTGTTCGGGACATAACTTTGAAACAACAAGAGGTATCAACATGAAACTTTGTAGGTAGATAGATCTCGTCGAGTAGGTGTGCAGTGCACAAAAACGGTAACTCTGCCTTGTCTAATTTTTGAGTTATTGCCCTTTGTTTATTTTTACACTTTGAACTTTGTCCGGGACATAACTTTGAAACAACAAGAGGTATCAACACGAAACTTTGCAGATAGATAGATCTCATTGAGTAGGTTTGCAGTGTACAAAAACCGTAACTCTGCTGTGCCTAATTTTTGAATTATTGCCCTTTGTTTACTTTTACACTTTGAACTTTGTCCGGGACGTAACTCTAAAAGCATAAGAGATATCAACATGAAACTTTGTAGGTAGATAGATCTCATTGAGTAGAAGTGCATTGTTAAAGAATCATATCTCTGTCTTGTCTAATTTTGGAGTTATTGCCCTTTGTTCATTTTGACACTTTGAACTTTGTCTGGGACATTACTCTAAAATTTTAAGAGATATCAACATGAAACTTTGTAGGTAGATAGGTCTCATTGGGTAGAAGTGCTGTGCTAGAGAACCATAACTCTGCCTTGCCTTATTTTGTCACGTCAGATTACGGACATTGATTTAGAGAAGGAATTAACTCTACCAGTCACCAGTTTTTACCCTTTGTTCATTTTTTTATACTTTCCTGTGTCCAAAACCTTCTCGGGGAGCATCACCCGGTTCAACCGGTTTTTGTTTTTCAGCTGTTTTATTCTAAGATAATACTTTTCATCTTTATTAAGTACAAATGGTCATAAAACTGTTCAATTATTATTATTTTATTACAAAGTAATAGTTTTGTACTATGTATTGAAGGAAGCCATTCATCTGTCTGTTTTATTAGGTTTGAAATTCTGCCCACATTCTTATCTGCAACCAAAATGACAACAAAAATGTTTTCAATAATGGTCCTGTGTTAATGCATTGTGTTACCAGTATTATCATCATCTGATAACTGATAATTGTTTAAACTTATATATTATCTACCTGTATTTAATGTCTATAAACATTTATATATTATCTACCAATGTTTGATTTACTAGTATTTATTTTCCTACCTGTATTAGCGTATACATTATTACAAATATTTGATACCTGCATCAATTTATACATTATCCACCAATAATTTGATACCTGCATCATCAATATACATATTATTATTATTATATACATTATCAACTAATATTTAATTTCTGCATCAATTTATACAGTGTCTACCAATGTTTGATAACTGCATTAATTTATTCATTATCTACCAATACTAAAATATTTTTTTTTATATTTAGATAGAGGATGAGGAGGCTCTTCTAGCTGTTGCTGCATGGCCGATGTTAGTGGAACTGATAATACATAATAATCCTCTAACAACAGAAAATAGTGGAGATCCTCCCCTGTTACAACGATTCCTCGGTGAAAGATTAGGCATTAGAATTAAAAGGTAAAACTATTTTAGGATAGAAATACTATAAAATAGTTATAACAATATATTGAAGATGATCATAATATAACTTAACCAAAATTTAATGAAAAAAATTATTGGTTTGATCCTGTTGTGAAGCAAAATTTCTCATTGGGTCTTATGGTCATTTGTCTCTCACCGCTGGTTCAGAAATGATGTGGTCTTAGTAGTTAGTCACTTTCGAAGAAATTAGTTATTACTGGTAAGTAAGCCAGGAAAGCTTAACAACCAAGATATGACAAAATGTGTTAAAATAAATTTAAAAAACAAACATTTTATCAACATTTATTCATTGTTAGATCTGAAGGAAAATAGTAGAAAAATAAGTGCAAATCTTGTTTATCCTTTTATATTTTATGTGTTCTAAAGTATCTTTTTGCACTGGCCATCTAAGTTGGTTCCCTTTCATCAATATTCCTACCTTAAGTTATGCCATTTATGAATATTGTTAATTGAATTTTTCTTGCAAGTTATACTGTTGTTTATTTCAATTAGGCTTATGCTAGTTTTAATATTTGGAAGCTTTGTGATGAGAGTGTGCAATGGTTCACTAATTAAGATAAATATAGCATTTTTTTTTTCAAAAGTTGTTTAAGGATGAAATGTCCATATAATAAAAATTTGTGATTTAGGAAAAAGGAGGCAGATGTTGTGAAACCCCCAGTAGAGGTCAAGATGAAGAAATCCAGACATGTAAGTGCACTATGTACCCCATGTCATTTGCAACCCCTTCCAGCTACCCCATGGAAGTGTGGTTTCTGGAGCATAACTTCAACTTGATGCTTTGAAAATAAGACAAGTTTTATCATATATCTTGTTTATCATATTTTAATCTTCAGTCTGTCCCACAAACTGCCATGCCAGCGAGATTTTATTCTGGTTGGGAGAATGTCGAACTTGCTTTGGCATTTAGCATAGATTTTGATATATACTGACCTTGCAAGATTGTGATAATTTTTGGCTTTTATGTATACGGTCTACACCCTGTAGATAATCAGTACAAACCTCATAGCCATTTCAAACCTCATAGACTTTTTTATACCTCATAACCAGTTCCTATCTCTGTTATTCTCATAGCCAATTCATACCATAACAGTCCTCTTAGCTTGATCATTTTTCATTGCTGGATATTCATACTGGTTTATACTTAAAGAACTTGTTTATTGATCATTTACCTATGTAAAAAGGTAAGTCACAATATTGAAAAAGTTGATCATAAAAAAAAAAAAACAAAGTAAAGTATAATGAATATGGAATCTGGTATGGTGTTTCATTATATCAGATATGAAACTTCTATATTTTTTTAGGTTACAACTGTGGTACCAAAAATCCCAAAAATGAATGTTGATGACTTACTTATGTTGGAGGCCCCTAAACCTCCACCAGCCCCCAAACCAGAAAGGACCAGAACCCACAGTAACCTTGACCCTCAGAAACCACTTCCTGCCATTCCAGCTTCGCCAGTAGATGGTCAAGGTCAAAGGTCACAGAGAGAAACAGGAGGTGATGAGAGTTCAAGGCCTGTAGATGAAAGTCAAGGTCAGGAACAACAAGATAATGATGCCTTCTTTATGACACAGGTATTTTTCTCTATCCATTTTTGTTTTTATTTTTCTCTTTACTTCTGAAAAATAAATTGTTTGTTTGTTATATCTTGGCAGTTGGTCTAGCTAATGAGCTTTTCTGGATGAGCTTTTCTGGATAACTTAACCCAGTAATTACTAATTGCAAGTGACTGACTGACCTTTAATCCAACATGGTTTCTTAATCAACGGTGAGAAAAGAATGACCATGAGATTCAATAGTCACAGAAAAGTTTTGCCTCTCCCAAAAATCGAACCAGCAACCCTTGGAGAGAGATGAATAAATCATTCAATATTTGACATAGTTTTTGAATGGTGAATTAGAAATTTGACAGCCTTTAAACAGTCTTAACTACTTTTTCTTTATGATAACAATTTTTATTCAAGTTAGTGAGCTATCATGGAAGCCAATTTATTATATACTTATAAATGAAATATTGATGAAATAAAATGCGTATTTTCATTTTTCGTATTTTCACTGTAAAAATTTATTTTTCACTGCAGTGAAACATATTTTCCGTATTTTCACTGGTGTCTTGCCGGACTACTTTCTTTTAAATTCTACCAGTACACAAAATTTAAAGGAAAGTTTTTTCAAATTTTATCGCAAAAAAGAGAAAAATGTACATAATAAACAGAAAATTCAAGTTTTTTCTATAAATACATGATTTATTTTCATCTTGTGGCATGAAAATTACCATATTTCACTCGTGGCTACCGCCACTCATGAAATATTTATTTTCATACCACTCGATGAAAATAAATCATGTATTTATAGAAAAAACTTGAATATCCTCTATTTAGTCAGCCTTTCTTTATACCAGATAAAATGCATACCATTTCACAATTTTTACATTAATTTCAAAATATGCATCTTTTCATATGACTTCACATTTCCAAGCATGGGGTTGTTCATGGCCTAGTGGTTAAGGTCGTTGACTTCAAACTACTTTCCACTCAGTGCCGTGCAAGTGTCTTCATGCAAACTCTTTCATGTGAGAAAGCTATCCAGCTAGCTTACAGAATGTCAGTGGTTCTACTCAGGTGCTCTTTTGAGATCACGAACTTAAATTTACCTGTCGTCGTCCTCCACCAATAAAGCTGGAAAGTTGTCATATGACCTATACTGTATAAAATTTCCACACATAACCAGGTTGATGATCAAGAAGAAGAGTGGAAGAAAGCCAAGAAAGAATCAAAGGTCAGGAAACGAAAGCAGAAGGAGAAAATGGCAGATGATAAATATAAAGGATATGAAATACTTCTTGATGCTGAGGATGACACTAACTACTCCCCACCAAAAGGTATGTCATTTATAGTCTGACCTAATCAAATTTCTAAGATTTTGTTGCATCTTTAGTTTGTTTTCTAATTTCTCAACATTCTCAAAAAACTGTTCCCCTTTGGTACATTTCATCGCTGTTCTTGATTATCAAAACAAAGCAATCATATTATTTTGTTCATTAATTTTTCATTGCAATTTTGGCATTATTACAGCACAGCTTATTTGGACTTGCAGCATGAGTCTTTTGTTAGTTGAACATTTCATTTTTAAGAATATTTGATAAAATCAACAATATTTCATTGAAGAAGCAAGACATAATTTTATGAGTTGTAATTGGTGTAAAATTGGTGTATTTACATAGGGTCTCCTGTTATATTTTAGATATGCATGGTACTATAAAGGCCCTGAAGTATGCTCTGGGACATGAACTTGTGTACAGAGATCCTGCAGTTAGACTAGACCGGATCAGTAAACCGGTAGAGCCATACCGGAAGGTAATATATCATCTCTATATACTTGTTATATTCCATCAATCAGTCATCAATCAGTCATATAAGTTATTCTGATTATTTGTTTATAACACTTACCATTCTTAATTTATAATGGACCTCTCCTATTTTGAAATATCCACTAAGCAGTTGGAGGATTACAATATCAAGGGGGGCTGACTTTGGGGGCTCACTTTGGCCTACATATTTTCAAGGAAAGTGAAAAAATGGAAATAATTTGCTTGTAGACCTACTTTCTAATAATTCCATGTACATATACATTTCTACAAAAATGTACAAAATACATGCCAAAACATATCTCTTACAATCCAGAGGAAAAACCAGTTCCTTGGAGGGCAATTGCCCCCAGAACCTTTAGAATTTTGCCTACAATTAAAGTCAAACCTGGAAGCTACACCCATGAAAATAAGAATGAATTTGAACTGTCATAGGATTAGAGTATTGGTAAGACATATTTTTACATTATAAGGCTAGTCTGATTATAAACTGGTGCCATAGACAGGTCATTATCACTATAAGTACTGTAAGGGTCAATGTACATCTATTTGTTTGATGGGTTATACATGTATTCATTTTATATTCAGTCTTATACTTTGTTTTCATTATGCTCATCTTTTTTCTCAGTCACCAGTGAATGTATGTTAATATTGTATTGTATTGTATGTCATTCACAGAACTTGTGTTTAGATGTGCCTCTTATTCATTTTGCCATGTCATGTTTAATATTACCGATATTTGTAAGTCTATATGTTAGTAATATTGAATATTAATGTTAGTAATATTAAATGTTTGCCATTATAATTACCAAAAAGAGCAATCAGGTTTTACATTTTCCAAAGAGTGGGTGGGAGGGCGTGAATACAAGTACAGAAAAAAAGTTAGATATTGTGAAAATGAAATGAATGATTCCTGTTTTTGATTTATTTTCTGTTGGAATATAAAAACTAAAGCCGTGTTAAAAAACGTGTTTAATTTCCTGGAATTATAATAAACAGCAATATCATCTTGGTAACTCAGTTTTCTTTATGTAAAAAGGGGAGGGGGCATTAATAAGGGTAAGGGGTCATTTAATAATATAAAGAAAATAATAAGAATTTGATGGAATGTTGATGATGCAATATACAGTATTAGTAAAGCACAGTATGCAAGGGTTTGTGTATTAAATTCTTAAGCACAACTCAAAACAGCACACTACGTCAACTGCCTTTTGCCAGCACATGGGAAAGTTGACATTTAGGTTACATACAGTTGTTTCAAGTCATGTGACACAGTAAAGTGTATAACATTTAATTTTCTTTAATAACCTACTATTTGTTTGTGAATGTACTTAGCTACGACTGGTCAAGGTAAGAACCAAGATCATGTACCATGATCATGATGACATCATAAAATAATCGCATGAAAACATTTGACTTCTGCTCTAGCTAATATATTTTGTTTCTTTAAGTGCATGTTTGTTTTGTTGTGTAATTACGGCTTTTGCAGTCAGGCATGTATTGCCCTGCCTTTGCAGTGCTCTTGTTACGACATCTGCATTAGAGCTACTGAATTATATAACATATATGCCCTCCACATTGATAGATTGACAGGCACATTGTTTTTGTCCTGTCAATGGGTGATTGTAATTGCACAAGAAATACTGCTAAAATATCAGATATGCAGAATATATATCTCTACAGCCTGATTTTGACATGCTGAAAAATGACCTTGACATCTATTTTCAAATTTTGGGTACATAGGAGATTTCACAAAAACTTTGTTTGCGTTACAAAGTTGAAATGGGCATGTTGGGTTTTTTAATCATTTCCTGTTAAACATTTTATAAAACCAACACTAGCTTAGCTTACATGTGAAATTACTGTTAATGTGAATTTGCTTTGTTCTTGTTGCTTACAGAATAATTCTTAATCCCCTCTTTGAATCCATGCACAAAGATGCTACAATCTGAATAACGATAACTTTGTAATGTTAAATTATAGAGCAATTATAATCCTCTTACTCTAAGCGACCCATTTTCTGGCATTCACATAAAAATTTAAAAGACGGCTGAACATGAATTATAATGATAAAAAGACCATGTGTATAACAATGTATTTACAGTAAAAAGAATTTTATGAGTGATTTTACCTTGAGAAATCTCTATTATTAAATACCTGACTTTACTTTGAACAAAGTTATTATAGTACTCCCCGCGGGTACCGCGTCCTTGCCCATTCTGATGTAATCAGAAAATTTGTTTCTTTTCACATTGAATGCCACCAAATACTGTTTCCACCATTAAAGTGAAAGTGGAAGTGCTGCTTTTTGTGAATTTGGATAGAAATTGTTAGAATTTTTTTCATTTCAAATAAAAATCCATAAAATCCAAAGCTGCCTGTGTGTGCTGAAAAAACTTCGTTATTTTACCCCATATTTAACAGTTAAACTTATAATTTCATGTTCCGACAAGTGAAGGTCTTCTGCTGAAACTGTAGTGACAGCATATTCTGTTACAAAAAATTATACTGAAGCCAAAAAGGGCCATCAATTAACATACCACGGTACCATAGTGCTCTCCGTATAAGCTCCCATTCTAAACATGGCTGACGGACCATAGATGTTTCTAATTAAAATCATTGAGTTATTCTATGAATGACATGTGTATTTTAAAGTCAAGATGCGACAGCTAAACACAATTCAATAAAATAGTAAATATAAGTTCTTTTTATTTGTACAATTTGCTGGAAATAATAAGAACAGTGGTACCATAGGGGACCATCCTACATAAAAGCATTTCTGTGGCATAATAAGCCTACAGAAGCAGTTCCGATAATCTTTGTCAGTCTATTCACCTTATAATGATTTAACAAGTCATAAAACACCTTAATTTCTGTGAAATCTCTTTCTAGACAAGCAACCTCAAACTTGAATTGCATTTATCAAATTCTTTTGTTTTTTAATGTATACATAACAATGCTTACCAAGTATATACTGATTTTGTTTACGCTGTCTTTCAGACGGAATACTTAAAGGGGGCTCCACGTGTTTCACAAGGGCAAAAGAAGGAGGAAATGTTGGCAGAAATGAGGGATAGAGTTACAACAGAAGAGGCTGAACTTCAGGATGTTCTACAGGGAGGAAATAAGGACCTGAGAAAACGGTTCCCAGATTCTGATAGACTACTGTCAGAGGTTGGTGTTATCTACAGTATCCAACCATAGTCTGCTGTTGCTAGGCACCAGTTTTGTTTTATAAATATGTGGGAGAAATTTGTTCTTCCTATATTAGGAAAGCTCAGGAATTGCAATATAATTCATATCAGTGACTCCAATAAAAAAATATTACAACTAAATTGGCACAAACTCATTCATGAGCATTTGGCATATTGCATAGTATTTGTTCAATAACTTCAAACAATTCATCATTTCCCCTCGACATCTACATATATAGACACAATGTTAAGAAAGAACTGCCTCAGACTGAATTGACTGTCTGCAACACTCATCTATTCTTAGTGCTTTATGTGAAAATATCCTTTGAAAATGCAGTTAACAAAGAGGAATAATTCAGTAAAAAGTTTATGCAAAAGTTGTGGGTCATGTTCATTCACCAACAAATGTTACAAAGATATACATCATGTACTTAAATTTTCCAATTTATAACAGTATAACTTCAGATGTTATGGAAACTTAAATTTTTATGTACTAAGGGCTACAATTGAGTACAAATCTATGCTATAGTAACTGCTATGGGTCTTTGAAAATTACCTATAATTATAATGTTAATAGTTTGTATGAAGTTACAACTGATTCTTCAAATGGATTATGAGGCATAAAATATCAATTTCTTTACTGACGTGAGAAGGAAGAGTAACCTCATAATTCTTTGAATAGTTAACTTATTTCTCATCATTTCTTATTATTTTCTCAGATTCAAAGACGATACAATGCTGTGCGTGTAAACTCTATGAAAGAAGCCAAGGACGCCAAGAAAATGCTGGCAGGGACATTACAGGAAGTCAATAAATCAGCTGGTACACGAAAAGTGAAAATGGAAGTGTGAACTTCACAGAATGTAAAAATAAGTGTGAAAAGAGAACACTTTTTTTCAGTCAGCATTGGATAGAACTAACATGGAACTAACATTGAGAAAATGTGATCAAATCAAGTTTTGTTTTCACATTTAATATCTAGATATTTTTTTTCAGAATGAAATATATTTTTTACTGTGATATAATTTTTGTTTCATTTTGTTAATCATTATTTGTATATTTGTTGTTGATAGTGCCTTCATAATTACTTTTAATTAAAACTGCTGAATTTGATGTAAATTTTTTATGAAACTGCTGAAATTTTACAGATTTATCTATACTGTACATGTATATTTATACATTAATTTTTGATTTATATGAACAGAAAGTAATGTAGAAGTGTATTTATCTGTCCATACAGTGTTTTGCTGAATGTAACATAAAGAAAGTTAGGTTTTTAGAGCTGTTTATTCGATTTCAATACATTTGTATAATTTATACTTTTACACATTGTCGTGAAGTTTTAATTCTTTCCAGATCATTTTATGTTATTTTACTCATTTTGCATTGAATATTAAATTAATAATAATTAGGAGAACAAGGCAAATTCCATTCAAAATCAATTTTGATGACTTTCAGGATTTCAAGCATTTGTTAACATCTAAACAGGCTTTATTTACATAGACCAAAGATCAAAAGAAATTATATATTTCTTGAATTGCACACAAGATAAAACTAGTATTATGTGTAGGTAGGATTTTCAAGTGTACAATTCATGATTAGTATTACATTGATTTACATGTATGTTTTACAAAGCCTTTCTGTATTTGTTTTTTATATTGAAAGGTTGTACTTGACATTAAAATCATTTCAGTCAATACTCTTCTTTTTTTTAATCATTTATGAAGAAGGTAGATTGGGGAAAATAACAAAACTGGCCTATTTACTTGGCTATAATAACGAAAAACCATTTTAAAAAATACAATCTGTAAAATAAACGGGTAAATAACCTTTTAAATTAAAAATAAAAGCATAGAAAATTTTTGAAGAACCTTTTTAAAATAAAAAATTTTGAAGAAGTATAAATAAATGTATAATGGATTGTTTTTATATTTCCGCACTTGATAGTTTTTTCTCGTTCAGAATGGTTTTTTCCCTTTTATTTTACCCATGCCCGAAATGTCATCTGGCTTTGGGGGGTAAAAGCAACAAGGATACTAATTTTACTCTTATAAAAAAAGGGAAATTTTTCTACGCTGTTGTAAAAAAAACAGTTAGGTGTAATCTTTAAATTTCATGGAAAAATTTTTTTTAGTAAGATAGAGTTTAACAAAAAGAAATAGGGTAAAATCCAAAAAAACTGACTTTTCAGTTTGGATCGGCAACCCTTTTCCCCAAAGGGGAACCCGCCTCCCCCCAAACTCGGCAAGCCTTTTAACTCCCCCAAGGGACGGCCCCCCCTCCACCAATTCATCCAAAACCACAAAAAAAATTTTTAACCAAATAAAAAAAACAGATGTACGTTTTAAATGTAAGAGTAAAATAACATTAAATTTGGGACATTTTCAGTTAACAATTTTTCTTAATATTTTCAACACCCCAAAATCATTGGCAACAATTTTTCGTAATAAACCACAAATATAAGGGTTTAAATTTTCGGTTACTAAATGTAAATAGTATGTGTTTTCCCTCATCTTTAACTGCCCCCTTATTAATAAAAAATTTTAGTAGCAAGAGAAATTTTCCCTTATTTATTTTTTTATAAAAAAATACAAAAAAGTGTTTCTCTTTCCTCGATAAACGGTTTTAACAATAAGGGGTGAGCAAGCAAAGGGCCAAAAATTTAAGGGATTACCTCAGCCATACTGAAAATGTAAAATTACTTTCTAAGAAATTTTGCTTTCCCGGCTAGTTAAAAACCACAGAGTCAGCAATCCGATTACTATTTAATGCATTAAAACTTTGGCAACACTCCCAAACAGCGGGGAACCCAACTTTTTTTGAGTTTTTCTGTTTAAAAAAGTACAAACAGAAAAACAAAAAAAATTTTAATAACAACATAAAAAAATAAAATTTTGCTCATCATAAAATCATTTGGAAAAAATTTATTTTTTTCAACAAATTTTAGTTTCCAGGGGGAAAATTTTTTCCTTTCAAAAACTTAAACAAAACTTTTACGCACTAGGGGTTTTAATACACAAAATTTGCATTTGATAGTCATTGCTACACCATATAAACAAAGGGTGCAACTGGGGGACCCCATCTTTTTTTTTTGGCTGAGACCCCCTGTGGGCCCCGGACAGCTCTCGGGGGCTGTCACTGGACTGTTCATCTTTTCCGTTTTTTTTTGCCCCTTTTCTGCGTTCTGCACTTTTCGTGGGGCAAATTGCCTCTCTGGACGATCCTGAAAATTCCCCAAAAATTTTAAACCTCAAAAATCAAGGGCATATATGATTTTAAGATCAAGGTCCCCGGGTTTAAATTAAAGGGTTAAGATTCTTACATGATAAGTTTAATTTGACATAGGTTTTGGAGCCTTTTTTTCAAGAACCCTATTTGGATCTTAAAGAATTTAAGGAGTCACCCTAATGGGGATATAAAACTGTAAAAAAGACAACATAGGCAATAGCCTTTAAAATTTACCCGTAGCAAAATTTAAAAAAACTTTTCCGGTGTTTTTGAGTTATGACATTTTTTTGAACTAAAACCTTTTCCCTTTGAAGGGGTTTTTTTAGAAATGGGGAAAAATTAAATAATCTATAAATCACATTATGAAAAAAAGTTTTTCCCATTTCTTTGTTAAGAAAAAAATAATGACATTTTGGGAACAAATTTTAAAAAACAAAAAAATGTTTTTAAAAGAAATGTTTTTTAAAAGTATAAAAATGTAACCCTACCCACCCTTTAACATTATTTACCTTTCCCCGTGTAAAAAACCTTTTTTTAAAAATCCCTAAAATTTTTCCCCAATAGGGGGGTTTTTAAAGTTCCAAATTTTTTTTTTAATGTATATTGGTTGGTCTTGCAAAATATAAAATACTTTTACCGTGTAGTTTTTTTTTTTATTAAACTTTGAAAATAATCTGGTATCATATTTTCTATTAAATTTGGCATTATTTAGTAAATAAATACCTACAAAAAATTATATAATTAAAATTGAAACACTTTTTTCTTCCATAAGAGATCTGAGAGATTATTAAACAAGAGGGCCATGATGGCCCTGATGTCGCTCACCTGTATATAGGCTCCCCCCCCCTACCCCCCCCCCCCCCCCAACGTTGCAGGGCCAATTTAACCCAAGGGCTTTTATTTGCACAAACTTGGTAGACACCCATAAGAAGATGTTTCATGCTAAACATCTAAGCTCTAGCTCATTGGGCTTTTTAAAAGAAGATTTGTTTTAAAGTTTTTACTATACACATATAGTTAAAAACAATGACACCCTGGGGCCGGGCCAGTTTTGACCCCAGGGCTTTTATTTGAACAAACTTTGTAGACACTTACTAGAAGATGTTTCATGCTTTAATATCTAAACTCTAGGGGTTTTTCAAAGAAGATTTTAAGTTTTTTGCTATACACATATAAAGAAAATCAATGACCCCCGGGCGGGGCCAATTTTGACCCCAGATCTTTTATTTGAACCAAACTTTGTAGACACACACTAAAGATGTTTCATACTTAATATCTTAACTCTAGCTATTTGGGTTTTTTCAAAGAAGATTTTTTAAGTTTTTGCTATACACACATATAAGGAAAATCAATGACCCCCGGGGCGGGGACAATTTTTGACCCCAGGGCTTTTTATTGAATAAACTTGGTAGATACCTATTAGAACATGTTTTATGCTTAATATCTTAGCCATAGCTCTTTGAGTTCTTTAAAAGAGACTTTTTTTAAGTTTTACTATATGCATATAGGGAAAATCAATGAACCCCCGGGCTGGGCCAATTTTGACCCCAGGGCTTTTATTTGAACAAACTTGGTAGACACTTATTAGAACATGTTTCATGCCTAAATATCTTAGTTCTAACTCTTTTGGTTCTTATAAGAAGATTTTCTAAGTTTTTACTATATGCATATAGGGAAAATCATTGACCCCCCGGGGCGGGGCCAATTTTGACCCCAGGCTTTTATTTGAACAAACTTGGTAGACACTTTATTAGAATATGTTTCATGCTAAATATCTTAGCTCTAACTCTTTTGGTTCTTTAAAAGAAGATTTTCTAAGTTTTTACTATATGCATATAAAGAAATCAATGACCCCTGGGGGCGGGGCCAATTGGACTCCAGGGCTTTCATTTGAACAAACTTGGTAGACACCTATTAGAACATGTTTGATGCTCAATATCTTAGCCATAGCTCTTTGAGTTTCTTTAAAAGAAGATTTTTTAAGTTTTTACTATATGCCACATAGGGAAAATCAATGACCCCCCCCCCCCCCGGGGCGGGGCCAATTTTGACCCCAGGGCTTTTATTTGAACAAACTTGGTAGACACCCATTAGAACATGTTTCATGCTAAATATCTTAGCTCTAGCTCTTTGGGTTCTTTAAAAGAAGATTTTTTAAGTTTTTACTATATGCATATAGGGAAAATCAATGACCCCCTGGGGCGGGGCCAATTTTGACCCCAGGGCTTTTATTTGAACTAACTTGGTAGACACTCACTAGAAGATGTTTCATGCCAAATATCTAAGCTCTAGCTCTTATGGTTTTTTAAAAGAAGACATTTAAAGTTTTTTCTTTCGGTTGCCATGGCAACCAGAGTTCTGCATGGAATTAAATTCTTTGAACAATTTTTAAAGGTGACCACCAAAGGAACATTCCTGTGAAGTTTGGATGAAATTGGCTTAGTGGTTTATGAGGAGATGTCATTTAAAGTAAAAGTTTACGGACGACGGACGGACGGACGACCGACGGACGGACGCCGGACGAAAAGCGATCACAAAAGCTCACCCTGTCACTTTGTGACAGGTGAGCTAAAAATGTTAAAAAGAAAAAGAAAGAAAAAAAAGTTGCCCCTTTGTGGGGTTTGAACCCACGCCCCTCAGTTTCAATACACTTTACAGTGATTCTAGCCTATTTAAATACTCTTCAAAGTGGAGATAGTGCATAAGGGGTGTACTACCTTAAATGCTTTTAAGCACATTAAGATTTACAGTTTACACAAAATAAACTACAATTCTACACAAAATACTTTTGCTGAATATATGCACACAGAATTGTTATTATCATTATTATTATTATTATATTTCTGTTTTAAATGGTAAAGTTATATATTTTCCACTGTTCTTTTAAGGATCTCAACATTTTTAGCCAACAAACAAAATGGGAAACAGCAACATCACTTTAAATCTGTGCATGTTACAATATTATACTGTTGTCATATATGTTAGTCTACAAATATATTCAGACAAGGTATTTTATTCATGCTGAGAAAAGAAACTATCATAGGCAGTTAGTAATTAAATTCCCATATGACTTTAAAAATCTCCAAAACTAACCATGGACAACTCTAATTTCAAAGCAGACCAAGTTAATTAAGCAAAATCCTAAGTGTTGAGAGTTGTAGCATGAACATATGATACTTGAAGTATTCAAAAATGTTGGTTATTATAAGAGATTCTTTATTTGGAATGTGTATTTGGCTTCAATAAGTTGGTCAATGCCAATACTGCACGAGGGACGGTAGCAAAGACTGTGATTTAGTGAAGTAGAATCCACGAGATCCAAATAAAAGTACAAGATAAAGACAAGAGGGCCATGATGGCCCTGAGGTCGCTCACCTGTATATAGGCCCCCCCCAACCCCCACCCCCACAACGTTGCAGGGCCAATTTAACCCAAGGGCTTTTATTTGCACAAACTTGGTAGACACCAATAAGAAGATGTTTCATGCTAAACATCTAAGCTCTAGCTCATTGGGCTTTTTAAAAGAAGATTTTTTTAAAGTTTTACTATACACATATAGTTAAAAACAATGACACCCCTGGGGCCGGGCCAGGGCTTTTATTTGAACAAACTTTGTAGACACTTACTAGAAGATGTTTCATGCTTAATATCTAAACTCTAGCTATTTGGTTTTTTCAAAGAAGATTTTAAGTTTTTGCTATACACATATAAAGAAAATCAATGACCCCCGGGGCGGGGCCAACTTTGACCCCAGGTCTTTTATTTGAACAAACTTTGTAGACACTCACTAAAAGATGTTTCATGCTTAATATCTTAACTCTAGCTATTTGGGTTTTTTCAAAGAAGATTTTTTAAGTTTTTGCTATACACATATAAGGAAAATCAATGACCCCCGGGGCGGTGCCAATTTTAACCCCAGGGCTTTTATTTGAACAAACTTGGCAGACACCTATTAGAACATGTTTGATGCTAAATATCTTAGCCATAGCTCTTTGAGTTCTTTAAAAGAAGATTTTTTAAGTTTTTACTATATGCATATAGGGAAAATCAATGACCCCCGGGGCGGGGCCAATTTTGACCCCAGGGCTTTTATTTGAACAAACTTGGTAGACACTTATTAGAACATGTTTCATGCTAAATATCTTATCTCTAACTCTTTTGGTTCTTTAAAAGAAGATTTTTTAAGTTTTTACTATATGCATATAGGGAAAATCAATGACCCCCTGGGGCGGGGCCAATTTTGACCCCAGGGCTTTTATTTGTACAAACTTGGTAGACACTCACTAGAAGATGTTTCATGCCAAATATCTAAGCTCTAGCTCTTATGGTTTTTTAAAAGAAGATATTTAAAGTTTTTTTCTTTCGGTTGCCATGGCAACCAGAGTTCTGCATGGAATTAAATTCTTTGAACAATTTTTAAAGGTGACCACCAAAGGAACATTCCTGTGAAGTTTGGATGATATTGGCTTAGTGGTTTATGAGGAGATGTCATTTAAAGTAAAAGTTTACGGACGGACGACGGATGGACGCTGGACGGATGGACGGACGCCGGACCAAAAGCGATCACAAAAGCTCACCCTGTCACTTTGTGACAGGTGAGCTAATAACATGATTATGACCCTTTTATTCTACATACTTTCTCATATATCTAATCTATTGAGCTTTAATTGATGGCATTCGTGAGCTTTGTCAGTGCAGATTACACAGGCTATAAAATAAGAATCTTATGTCATGTCAAATCAGTATTGTTGATGTGATACAGGCAGCATTGGTATCACAATATACAATGTTATACACTTATAATGCATACATGTGAACTCTCCCACTTTAAGTGGGAAACTCCCACTTTCTGCAGCCGTATTTTCAAAGTATTTTCTTAAAATAAGGGGTATTTTCACAAATTTAAGAAATCTCCCTATTTTTGATGTCAAAATTTCCTTCTTTTTTTATTGCAAATTCTAAAATCTCCCTCTTTTTGAAGAAAAATCTCCCACTTTATCACCAAAAAATGTTCACATGTAGGATAATGTTCATAATGAGGCAACATATATTACGGTATACTATTCATCATTAAATAGTTCTATATATCTTGAAAATACAACTTGAGTGAAAAATATATAATTCTAGTGTCTGAGAGAAGTGTTACAAATCTTGGATAGTGTTATAAAGCAGGCATGCAGCAAGCTTTATAGCAAAACTCGAGCAAAGAGTGTTAATTTTAAGTAAATTTGAAATGACCATTATTAATTCATCACATCATACAATATTGTTAAGTCACCAAAATGATAAAGCATTGAAAAATTGCAAAATCATTAATGCACTATTTTCTTTGATGACATTATCTTTGACTTTACATACAGATGATGATGTCATAATGATTTTTGTTGAACATGTGCAATCATATAAAGAAATACATAATGGGTGTATTAAAGCAATCAAATGATACAAAAATGCCATGAGAAAAATATTTCCTTTTCCAGTCACCAAAAAAAAGCATTCCTTAAAGAAAACCATGCTGTGATATGCAAACGTAAAGATATTAAGTATAAACTAATGACATCATATCATGCTGGTAGTTATTTATAATATTTTCCTATGCATGGTTTACATCTCCTTTATTATCTTTTCCTTATTGAACTCTTATTCTATAATCACTTGTCAATGATACTGTATAGTAGATTCAACCTGCACAATCATGCAGTCTGTTTAAACACATTTATTTAAGCTCAATTGAGAAACAAGTTCTTGCAACTTTTATTAATCACTTTTGGATCCGCTTCCTGGAATCAACCAGTACTGGTGTCATATAAAGATACATGGTCGTGACCTGGTTAGGGCTCAAACCCATGATCCCTGTGTTGAGAGGCAGACACCTTAACCATTAACCACTCCCCTTGCAATCTGTTGACTGACAACTATAGTGTTAAATTTAGATATGTTGTTATTGAAACAACAAGAACTGTCTGTAAACAGTGCCGGTTATTAAATGAAAACAACACAATGTTTAACAAGGGCTAAATATCATAAGTTGAAAAAGAGGAAATTTTTTGCATAAAAAATTTAAGACTTTCTGCCCTTTTGAAATGGTGTCCTTTCATGACACTAAATTTGAAGTGAACAGCTTTTAGTTTCACGAAAATGAACTTAAGCAAAAATGTTAACTAATGCCTACACCAGCACCGATAAGAGCATTGTAACAGTAGCTCTGTTATTTTTTCTTTGAAGAGTGGAGCGAACAGTCCTAATTTAAAGCAGGGCAAGTTTATTAGACAACAAGAGCTGTCACAGGAGACAGCGAAGCTCGACTAATAAAATACTGGACGCAGTAAGGAGGACAAAACTATGAAAGAAAAATCAATTATGTATAATTATGTATTAAGTTATAGTAAAAAAATATCATTTGTTAACATAAATTCCAAGATCAAGGGGAATAATTCTAGAAATAGTCATGCTAGAGTTATGGACCTTGTCACACAACATTTGTGTAATGATAAGAAATATATATTTGAAGTTTGAAGCAGATACCTTAAAAAGTAAAGAAGTTATTATATTTCTTTAAGAAAATCCTAAGTTCAAAGAGAGATAAATCTGTAAATATTGCTTCAAGAGTTATGAACATTGTCACATAAAATGTAATTGATGATAAGGAATAAGTATTTGAAGTTTGAGGTAGATACCTTTAAAAATAAAAAAGTTATAATAAAAAATAACATTTTTCTAGTAAAAAAAATCTAAGTTTATGGGGAGATAATTCTTGCAATATTGGTGCTAGAGTTATGAACCTTGTCACATAAGATGTGGATGATGATAACGTAAATATATTTGAAGTATGAAGTTGATCCCTTTAGAAATAAATAAGTAACAGTAAAAAATAATATTTTTTATGGAAAATTCTAAGTTCAAAGGGAGATAAATCTGAAAATATTGGTGCTAGAGTTATGAACCTTGTCACATAAGATGGGGATGATGATAACGTAAATATATTTGAAGTATGAGGTTGATCCCTTAAGAAATAAAAAAGAAACAGTAAGAAATAGTACTTTTTGAGGAAAATTCTAAGTTCAAAGAGAGATAAATCTGTAAATATTGGTGCTAGAGTTATAAACCTTGTCACATAAGATGGGGATGATGATAAGGTACATATATTTGAAGTATGAGGTTGATCCCTTAAGAAATAAAGAAGTAACAGTAAAAAATAGTATTTTTTAAGGAAAATTCTAAGTTCAAGGGGAGATAAATCTAAAAATATTGGTGCTAGAGTTATGAACCTTGTCACATAAGATGTGGTTGATGATAAGGAACATATATTTGAAGTTTGAAGTTGATACCTTAAGAAATGACAAAGTTATAGTGAAAAATATTTTACTGCACCAAAACTTTAATCTAAAATCTGGACGCCGACGCCGGGGCGAGTAGGACAGCTCTCCATATACTTCGTATAGTCAAGCTAAAAATTAAGCAATGTAATGGTTAAATTGAAATAAATGAAGTCGTATCCATACATTAATAAATAAATAAACTGCATTAAAATCATCAACTTGCCCTTGCCCACCCCCCCCCCCCCCCCCCAAAAAATGTAACAAAAAATAAGAGTAATAAAAATAAAGAAAAAAAACAATTTTTGCGGGGGCAGCATACCTTTCTCTTCCGTCTATCCAATGCAGCTGATGATTCACTGTCTCTAGGTGCGTCTGTATTGTTATTGTTCTGTGATTTACCCTCTTCATTAGGCTACATACAAACACACAACATCTAGTTACAGTCACATAAACACACTATAAACTACAAATACAGTCTAACCTGTGTTAAAGACCATCTCCAAATAACAGATCATATACTGAAAAACCTGCCACTTAAGACCAGTGTTAGTTTCTAAAGACCAAAATTTCCTTTTCTACAGGTCAACAATAAATACTTTCTTTCATATTACTGGACTGCATTTTAAAAGACAGGTTTTAATATACAGTAACACCTGCTTCTACAGACCACTGACTCCAAAACATCCTTTTAACTTTGCTTGCAAATGGTTTTTTTATCACTGATAAAATACACTTTAAATTTTAAACAAATAAATAAAACCAGGACTTTTACAGCCAGTTCATCTTTATTTTTAGGTGGCTTTTATCACAGGTTTAGCTGTACACTAAATAAGATTTCTATTGAATTAAATATATAAAATTTTATGCTTAAACTTGATTTAAGACTTCAAATTGTCCAGTTCAAAAAAGGGACAAAGCATGGCAAATATCAACCAAAATGCATCTTCCAAATAAACATAACAAATTTTTATAAAAGTATCACATGCACTATAATAATAACAACAACACACAAACAATATACTAACATTCAAAAACTAGTTTATATGGCAAATGGGTGCTGTACATACATGGAGAAAAGACTGATATTTCTATATTGTACATTGTATATCTATTTCATTATCTGATTACATTTAATAAATATGTGTTAAAATACAAGTGTACACAGTTCAAAAAAGAGCTCATCTTTCCACAAAGTTTTTAATATGTTTTATGCTATTATTTTTTTAATAAATAATTTTCGCATTGACTTAGTACAATGGATTTCTTCATCTTTGAATAAAGATCTGTCATAACTGTTTTTAGCAGGTAACAATAAGGTACAGATGCATGTCAGACTGGGTTGCTGGCAGCTATGCTGTCGGCTCAATTTTAACCAAACAACTAACAGACATACTACTGTCTTATGGACAGATCAAAATTCAATGTAAAATCCATTACACAAATTTGGCAGGAACTTGTAAATTTATAAACAAATTATTATCAAAGTCTCTTTTCCAGCTGTGTTCAAATTAAGACAAAATAATTTATCATATATGCAAGCTATGGTTATTTTTTCAACAAGATATGTACAAACCTTTGTTCTTTCTCTCTCCGGTTTAACACTCTCCTTATCTTTGTCTTTAACAGCTTTTCCTGTATCTGCTGAACTAGGCTTACCATCTCCCTCAGGCCTAAAAGTTACTAATGCATGTGACTTTTTGTTTGTATCCCAGGATTAGATGGGAAAATCCCACATAGGCAGAGTTCTGGTGAAGTTTCCGAGTATCTATATTTTAATGCTAGATACATGTATCATAATGATTCAACTTTAAACAAATAAAACTTAAAGACAGAAAAGTCTGCATATCAATACAGTCTGACTGGACTCCTTATGGATGGATGCTACGTTTTTGCTTCTTGACATTAAAACATTCTAAAATAATAACTGATTATTCCAAATTCAGAGCAAGGTAAATCAATAACCTTACATAAGAATTGAAAGGTAATACATGAACAAGTTAATGGCATCAAAGAGAAAAATACAGTAAGTTATATTACATTATGAGAGACGGAATAAATTCCAGGCAAATTTATCATTATTCTTATAGTTGGAAGAACAAAATTGAACAGTTGATAAGCAAACTTACTTTGCAGGTTTAGAAGTTTTCTCAGGGGTTTCAGACCTAGCCGGTTCTTTCTCCGGCTTTTTCTCCCTTGCATCATATTTACTGCTTGGTCTGTCAGATCTAGGACCACCTCCGCCACTAGATTTTGGAGAATCTCTACTGTTATTATTATTTCTGTTACTATCCCTATGAAATGAAAAAATTACTTTTATATTTTTTTCAACATCAATAAAATATTGACATGTATATATCATGCCTTCATTGTCCACTAATAAGACAATGCCATCTTGTTAAAAGATCAATATATACGCTGATTTTTTTTTCGTCTATGTTTGTATCATTGCTGTAAGAATTTTTATACCATACACAAAATAAGCACTTGAGACATATCAAAATGTAATAATGTCACTTTGGAGGAGAGAATGATAACTGGAAGATGTGCCATCTGCCTCTTGAACCCTTGAATCAGGAATTGATGTGTTTGAGCCCTTTCTTCTACCATGTTATCTTGATATGGTATTTGTTATTCAAGGCAGTTGACACAAGAATAGTTCAAGTAAATTTTATGTTTCTTCATGACCATTGAATTACATAAAATTTATCTCAACAAAAAGAGAATGAAACAATATAATATAGAAGTCACCTGTAGTCATCCCGGTATCTCCCATCTCTTCTAGGTGGTCCACTTTGTCTTCTGTCATCCCTGCAATACAGTCAAACATTAACATATAGAAATACAGATATTAATGATTCAGCAGTTGCCTATTGATAGTGAAAATGTTCTTTGTCCTTGTAAATTCCTATCTTCTTTTTTAAAATGTCTTTAATGTAAATAAAAATGCAACAGCAGAGCTACTTTTCAACTGACTTTGCACTAAACAATCTTTGTGTGTTGATTATTGTACACACTTCATAAACCTTCATTCAGCTAAACTTTGTAACTTTTTGTTGTTATTTCTGTTAGTGTTCTAACAGTAGTTCAGTAGGGAGACCATCAGATTAGAAATCCAGAGCTGCAGGTTCAATCCTTGGACAAGTCATAAATTTCTCTTTCACAACTGATTACGGACATTGAGTTTAACAGTCATTTGTCTCTAACTGCTGATTTTGAAATCATGTAGGACTAGAAGTTGTCACTTGCTGAGAAATTGGTAATTCAAGGGGAGGAATCACGCCGTTCGTTACCCAAACAAACAAGATGGCGGATGCAGCCAAAAAGTAGGTTTTTCCCTTTTTTCTCTGAAATTCATGATGTTCTTGTGTAAAGGTACATATAACAACCTTCTCCACAATTTTCCTGGCACACAGAAATTTATTTCATGAAGTTTCGTCCCGTACTTCTTCTGAAATGCGCGTCACCAGATTCGAAGCGAGAGAATTTTCCACCGGTTTGATCATGGTAACGTACGGCTTCTTCTCTAAAATTCACTGTTTTGTTTACATATATGTATATTAACTGAAATCACTGACATTAAAAAGTTGTAATATGTCGGCATCTAAGCATTCATGCCCATTCTGGCTAGAATAACCGCTGAAAATATTAAAATCGGGGCATTTTCAGGAAATGATAACGTATGGCGCACAAAATATCAATGATAACGCATTTTTGTCTGCTTAATTGATTTTCTATATAAGAGAAAAGTTATGTTATAAATAAAGAAACTGAATATTATTTAGTGTTTGCATAATATCTGTCATGTGTTTTTGTATCGGATAGAAATATCCAATCCAGGGGCTCTTTCGCATTGGGCTGTAACGAGTCTTGCTAACTTAAGCCCTTGTGCAGGTGCCAGTGGGATGGATATTAAAATCCGATAGGTAATCACGAGTGATATGTTTTCTTGCATATCATACTCGAATATAGAGCAACTTTTCCACCTTTGGTGATCTTAAAGTTTCGTCAAAAGTGAAACTTGATCCCAAATTTCAAATATCTATGTATATGTTAGTGCTCATCCGTACTGTTCTATAGAAATTATAGATTTTGACGGGAGTGATAGCGGCAGAAGGATGTTTTAATTTCTGTAGAACAGCTACGGATGAATACTAACATACTAAGCGTCAAGCTTTTTTGGCACTTTATTACGTCACTATACTGTTCTATAAATTATTATGAAAATGAGAAATCGACTATGAACGGAATTCGATAAAGTATCGTATTTTGTTCTTCAATGAAAATTAACGCACAGATTTCCTTTTAGAAATACAGCGCTTTCATTGGGTGAGAAATAAATTTGGACACTATATTAACTTCTATTTTTCATAGTGCTTCATAGAAATGTGTTCGTAAAATAGACAAGTATAGTGACGAAAGAAAGTAAATATTAATGAAGCCAAATAAAGCTTGACACTAAGTATGTTAGTATTCATCCGTAGCTGTTCTACGGAAATAAGAAACATTCTCGGGCCGCTATCGCTCCTGTCAAAGTTTCTTAATTCTGTAGAACAACACAGATGAACACTAACTGATTACTACGCTACTATGATAATATTGTTTACGAAGTATATGTTACTAACATATACTTCGTAAACACTATTATCATAGTAGCGTATTAATTTTTACAGCTGTTCTTTCATAAAGATAATGACGTCATCTGAGCGCATTCATGAGCGGTCTAGCTTTAATGATTTCAGACAGGTTCTCTGACATGGATAAAACATCGAAATCCAAATCCGATATGAAACTTTATCATGGTCGGTAAAATGTTTACCGCAAATTTCAATGACACTCTTTTATTGCTGATACCTGCAATACTATTTTGTAAGAGATTGATTTTTTTTGTTGGGGCGTTTGCGAGAAAAAAAGCCAAAATATGATAGGCAAATTTATGAATTGGATGTAATTGTTTTGATAAAATCATTTATTATAAAAAAACTGTACGGATATGTCGTGCAAATATATCTGACCTCATAGTGGCACAACGTCACGCTAAATGGTTGCATTTCAATATTAACCGCCCGTCAAATAAACATAAAATTTCTTATTTACTAAATTCATTGAAGTTTTTTGCATAACATTATTTTCTAACTCATGTAATAAATTTAATATAGAACCTATACTCATTCATTATTCTCTTTTATGAATTTTCTTTCAATGAGCGACCAGATTGTATAAACACAGGCTCATCTCCTCTGGGTGTAAGCTAGTCGCAATCACTTTTCGTTTTGTTTATGTTTGACGTGGTTCAAATATTAAGATTTTCTTATCAGTAATTTGTTAAAGTAATTATGCCCCCATTTCGAAGAAAAGGGGGTATATTGCTTTGCACTTGTCGGTCCGTCGGTCTGTAGACCAAATGGTTTCCGAGTGATAACTAAAGAACCCTTAGGCCTAGGAACTTCAAACTTGGTATGGTGATAGGTCATGACCAGTAGATGACCCCTTTTGATTTTGGGGTCAAGGGGTCAAAGGTCAAGGTCACATTGACCTTGTAAGCAAAAACAGTTTCCGATCAATAACTAAAGAACCTTAACGCCTAGGAACTTCAAACTTGGTATGGTGATTGGTCATGATCAGTAGATGACCCCTATTGATTTTGGGGTCAAGGGGTCAAAGGTCAAGGTCACATTGACCTTGTAGGTAAAAACGGTTTCCGATCAATAACTAAAGAACTTTAAGGCCTAGGAACTTCAAACTTGGTGTGGTGATTGGTCATGATCAGTTGATGACCCCTATTGATTTTGGGGTCAAGGGGTCAAAGGTCAAGATCACATTGACCTTGTAAGCAAAAACGGTTTCCGATCAATAACTCAAGAACTTTAAGGCCTAGGAACTTCAAACTTGGTATGGTGATTGGTCATGATCAGTAGATAATCCCTATTGATTTTGGGGTCAAAGGTCAAGGTCACATTGACCTCTTGGGTAAAAACAGTTTCTGATCAATAACAAAAGAACCCTTAGGCCTAGGAACTTCAAACTTGGTATGTTGATTGGTTATGACCAGCAGATGACCTCTATTGATTTTGGGGGTTAAGGGTCAAAGGTCAAGGTCACATTGACCTTGTAGGTAAAAAACGGTTTCCGATCAATAACGAAAGAACCCTTAGGCCTAGGGACTTCAAACTTGATATGGTGATTGGTCATGATCAGTAGATGACCCCTATTGATTTTGGGTCAAGGGTCAAAGGTCAAGGTCACATTGACCTCTTAGGTAAAAACGGTTTCGGATCAATAACTAAAGAACCCTTAGGCCTAGGAACTTCAAACTTGGTATGGTGATTGGTCATGACCAGCAGATGACCCCTATTGATATTGGGGTTAAGGGGTAAAAGGGCAAGGTCACATTGACCTTGTAGGTAAAAATGCTTTCCAATCAATAACTTAAGAACCCTTAGGCCTAGGAACTTCAAACTTGGTATGGTGATTGGTCATGACCAGCAGATGACCTATTGATTTTGGGGTCAAGGGGTCAAAGGTCAAGGTCACATTGACCTTGTAGGTAAAAACGGTTTCCGATCAATTAACTAAAAAGGCTTAGGCCTAGGAACTTCAAACTTTGTATGATGATTGGTCGTGACCAGCAGATGACCCCTATTGATATTGGGGTTAAGGGGTAAAAGGGCAAGGTCACATTGACCTTGTAGGTAAAAATGCTTTCCAATCAATAACTTAAGAACCCTTCTTTAGGCCTAGGAACTTCAAACTTGGTATGGTGATTGGTCATGACCAGCAGATGACCTATTGATTTTGGGATCAAGGGGTCAAAGGTCAAGGTCACATTGACCTTGTAGGTAAAAACGGTTTCCGATCAATTAACTAAAAAGGCTAAGGCCTAGGAACTTCAAACTTTGTATGATGATTGGTGGTGACCAGCAGATGACCCCTATTGAGGTTTGGGTCAAGGGGTCAAGGTCACATTGACCTTGTAATTAAAAATGGTTTCTGATCAATAACTTAAGAACGCTTAGGCCTAGAAACTTCAAACTTTGTATGGTGATTTGTCATGACCAGCAGATTACCCCTATTGATTTTGGGATCAAGGGGTCAAAGGTCAAGGTCACATTGACCTTGTAGGTAAAAACGGTTTCTGATCAATTAACTAAAAACGCTTAGGCCTAGGAACTTCAAACTTTGTATGATGATTGGTTGTGACCAGCAGATGACCCCTATTGAGTTTTCGGTCAAGGGGTCAAAGGTTAAGGTCATGACCAGTAGATACTTGATAACCCTTATTAATTGTTTGATCACTGGGTCAGAAGTCATGCATAATAACCTTATCACATGACTAATTGGCTGCTGATAGGGGGCATACATGTTTTACAAACATATCTTGTTTTGGAAAAGAAAATATATCAAGTCTTCCGTACCATTTTAACATTTTTGCTCTGTTGAATGCATTTCTTCTTTCTGATAAGGGGATAAGACCATAATTATCGCACAACACTGGCGAAATTTAATGTGAAGACAACAATACACAAATGTTTCCTAAAAGTGGAGGCTTTTCTTTCCATTCTGCATTTTATACAAAATATTCTCAAACTATAAACGTGTTTTTTACTTGGTATATTTACAAGGAATATCTATTATGCCACCAGCTAGAAAGATATTGATACCCGATGGTGCAGCATTGTTCAATAATTTATTTCTGAAATGACAAACTTTTTGTTTAAAATATCTATCATTTCCTACATACAAATAATTTATGATCAGCTGACTGGACAAATAGAAATCCACCAAGTAGAAAAATGCGCCGTACGTTATCATTGATATTTTATACGCCATACGTTATCATTTCCGGAAAATGCCCCGATATTAATATTTACACCAGTAAATCTAGCCAAAATGGGCATGAATGATTACTTGACAACATATTACAAATTTTTAAAGTCAGTGGTTTCAGTTAATATACATATATGTAAAGAAATAGCGAATTTGAGTGAAGAAGCCGTACGTTACCACGATCAAACTGGTGGAAAATTCTCTCGCTTCGAATCTGGTGACGCGCATTTCAGAAGAAGTACGGGACGAAACACCATGAAATAAATTTCTGTGTGCCAGGAAAATTGTGTAGAAGGTTGTTATATGTACCTTTACACAAGAACATCATGAATTTCAGAGAAAAAAGGGAAAAACCTACTTTTTGGCTGCATCCGCCATCTTGTTTGTTTGGGTAACTAACGGCGTGATTCCTCCCCGTGTAATTACTCGTTAGTTATTCAGGAAAGCCAGTTAGATGGATGGACTGACCGACGAGAAATGAAAAATGTGTAAAAAAAAACAAGAAAAACAAACAAATATAAGAAATATCAAACATCAACCTGTAATAATCTTGATCTCTGTTTAACCGTCTTTCTCTGTCCTCCCTGTATGACTTTGGCCTCGGTCTGTCAGACCGTCGGTCATCTCTGTCCCTAGGATCATCTCGGCTAGATCTTGGACGGTCATTCTAAATCATTCAAATGAAATGTTGTTCATGGTTAGTTTTTCTAAAACAGTGATATGCAAAGTTCACAGTGATATTTCTAAAATATTTGTGTAAATTCTCTATGTTTACAACATTTTCCAATAGTTACGGGTGAATAAACTTATCTGTATATCCTTTAATTCTATACTAATATAAATCTTTCATTCATGATTTACCTGTACACACATGCATCAGATATTGGTAAGGAACAGTCTAACACAATATTCAATATTTGTCCCCATCAAACTTTTGCAGAGAACACTTTATGAGACAGTGGGTTTGAATTCATGAATTTATATTCAACAGATCAAAGTCTTAACTGTATCAGATAAACAAGAATGTGTGCTTATGCCCAAAAAACTCTACACAACATTACTTAGCCAATATCGTTACAATAGAATAATGTTTGATATGTACATATATATGTACTATATTCATTAATGAAAAAGTAGTTCCTCTGCATAAAAGACACATGAGCTTAAAACACATAGCAACATTTATATATAAAATTAATTTCAATCTTGTATTTTTTGCTTTCTTGAAATTGTAAAGTTCTTTGTAAGTTTCCTATCTTCTTATTAACAGTAGAAATCCAAATATTCAAGAACTACATTTTGTACTTTTGATACAATTTAATTTATGATATATTATTATTTTCATGGAATTATGACCAATCAATGGTCTTCCCTAACCAAACTTTGCAAATTTATAAAAATTTAAAGTAACAAATCAAGACTGAACAAAATAACTGTGGAAAAAAAAGCAACATTTAACATGTAACATAATTATAGTACATTTGTATCCTCCCGATACATTGGTTTATTTGCCTCTCCTTTCTTATCTAATCTTCATTGAACTGGTGGCAAGGAGAGCAGGCATGGGCTGCAAATGTTGAGTGGAGGCCACTAAATAACAGTGAACACGTCCAAGAGAAAAGACAGCAAAAATCCTTAGTTTGAAATTATCAAGAGGAAAAGATTGCCGCTTCTCTATAGCACATTTGATAGGGGTCTCTTACCTTAAGATATTTCACTCATTTACCATTGTGATTAGATAAGTATCAAGTACAGATAATATACATAAAGAATATATCTACAAGACATTACTAGTAGCATGAATATAGAAGCCATAGTAACAGATACCCCGGATACCCTTGACCACACAAATCAAAGTTTATTGCATTATCAGATCACCAGCCTATACATAAATACCAAAATACATAAAGAATAAAAATCTCGGGTATGAGGCTAATGGGTATATTTATACATTCAGAGCAAGTGGCTATAACAGAGCTATACTATTTAAATACAGGCATGCCAGTGAATTCATCAAAGCAGTCTGACCACAGACTATCCTGTAAGATCAACAATTTTTTTTTTTAATTTAATCATTTTGATACTGAAATCACCCTTAAAACACTAACAGACTTTTCAAATATCAAAGAAGGGCAAGTACATCACATTATTTGAGGGGCGGTAAGGGTTAATACCTTAGCTGGACTAGATTTGCCACGATCCCTGTCATCACGTCGGTCTCTCACTTCTCTTTGTTCCCTCTGCTTCTCTCTGTTCTCCTTCGAGAACCGTAGCTTCGATTTATCATCCTTAGATCTACTATTATCCTTTTCAGGTCCAACACCCTCTTTCTCTTTTTTCTGGTCACTTACTCTGTCACTTAACTTTTCAGATTTATCACTAGATGATTTATCATTTGTTTTATTATCTGGTTTATCACTGTCAGTCTTATTGTCTTTGCTGTCCTCGGGATCAGTATCTCTTTCTGTGTTTTTTAAAAGCTTTAAAAACAGATACACAAATTATTACCCTTCCCATAATACCCCATCACCAACACAAACAATATACAATAACAGAAATAAACATTGAATTCTTCTAAACAGAATGCATCCTTTTATTTGTAATAAGTTTGGATCGGAGGTAACAAGAGAGAAGGAGTAAAATAATTAATGAAGGGACTGATAAAATTTTAGGCTGTCTATATTGGAAGAAGGAAGTATATTTGAAAGTAAGATGAAAATTGAAAAGATCTTTTCAGTGGAATGAAGAAATTAAAAGGATATCCAGAATTGAAACAATAAAACTGTCAACAAGAGTCAATAAAGAAGGCTAGAGTAAAGGATGCTTGACTGATAAATAAAATGTCTGAACAATTAACTGAATAATAAACAAAACATAAAATGATATTAATCTACTTCAAATTTGTTATAAAAAAAACTAATAAAAGAACATGACGAAATAACATGAAAAATTGAACTGAACCGTTTGCCTTGAAATTAAATACACAATACAACTGTGTTTTAATGTTTATTTTTCCTTCTTTTAAACTATATTCCAACTAACTTCAACCATTTCAACAATTTAACAAAAACAAAAAAAATTGAACAATAACAATACAAAGCTATAATGCATTCATAAATGCCATCCATTCAGGGCAGTCGTCTGAACTATCATCTATTACCTTTACTGGACCATCCTTATTCTTCTCTTCTTGTTTCTCTTTATCCTTCTCTCTATCCCTGCCACGATCTCTGTCCCTCTCCTTCTGTCGCTGTCTGTCTTTCTCTCTCTCAATTTCACGCTCTTTGCGTTTTCTTCTATCGTCTTCTCGCATCTGTTTCCTCTCTAGTTCACGTTTTTTACGTTCTTCTCTTGCACGCTGAAAATGTCAAGTTTGATAAGATTTTTAAACGTTTCCTTTTATACTACTACATGACACAGAAAGAAATGACAATAAAAATTCAAACGTTCCCTTTTGACTTACAGAAAATGTAGAACAATTTACAGAATATTATTTAAAATTTCAATGCTAGGGGTCTAAGTCCTTCATCTTAACAAATACTGTATGTGTCAAAGCACATGATGACAATCCTGTTTTGAAAGTTTGGAGGAAATCTGTTTAGAAATTGTGTGCAGAAGAAGTAGTTTACCGCCATCTACCCACCCACATTGACTAGTCTGAGTTTTCTGCAGAAAATCATGAAGAACTTTTCAATTCTATGTTTGTTTTGATAAATTAAAAACAATCCACATTAGATTATCAATTTTCTGCACTTGTTCCACAAAATAACATAGAATAATATACAAATCTTAACCTGTTACAAATAGGAGAATAATGCACCACAATTCATAATAAGTCATAATTCTCTTAACAACTTACCAAAATAGAATTTCTCTTTTCTTCTCTTCTTTTCTTTATAAATTCTATCAATGGTGTAGTAACTTTAGGTCCACCTTTGGTTGCTAAAATATAAGGTAATACTTCTAGGTTAGACAATGTTTAACTAGGGTCTAGAACTACCTTTACTTCATGCCATATTAACCAAGTCAGACAATTAAAACTTTAACCATCCAATTAGTATGCAAGTAGTTTACTGGAGAAAATCTTACTTATAAAAGAGTTTTCCTGATTTTTTGTTTTTTACAGAAATACAGTACAACATGCGCTGGTCAACACTCTTACGGAGACAAAGATTTTGTTTGCTGTTGGGAGGTATTGTTATAGGTATGCTAATTTTATTACTTTTTGGGGGGGATGTAATGAAAAAAGTTTTTGTACAGAGATTATTGTTCATCAGAAGGGACACTCTATGGAGGTTGTACTGTAACCACATTCAGAGTTTTAAGATGGTCACCATTCTTATACAGCTGATACAGTAAGCACTTGTTATTTCTTTATGACAATGCCAGTAATAAATTTTCCTGACATTTTTGACTTTTTTTCTGCTGTGAACCATCTCAATCACTCATGCCCTATCGACATAGTTTACATAGTTGTCTCTGCTCAATATTCTACAAACTATGAAACAGCAAATATTCCAGCATTATATCAAAATTTCTAAAGAGCATGTTAAATACATGTATAACATCCAATCAAGGCATTTTTCTACAAGGCCAAAGTCCTAATCCAAAATTACCTGAACCTCTTTTTTTTCCCATTTCATAAAAAAATATTCCTTACAGTTGCAAAAAAAATAATCTCACTATTTCAAATTCTGAGAAAAATTCAACTTTTTGACTTGGCTTCATAAAAGAAATGACAAGTTACATAATCATAAACACAAACACTCTTGCCAAAACTTTACCTAAACATAAACCAGGGACCTTTTCCAACATAGATAACAGCTGCTGGAAATGGCCTTGTAATTCATTTTAGACTAAGAACTCTTGAAAAATGAAAACATGGTGTGGCATCATAGAACATTCAATCTATAACACACTTTTGCTTCAAATGAAGTCCCCAAAAAAATATTTAGAGATTCAAAATTAGTTTCCTAGTTTTTCTTTCATTCTAAAAGGATTATCTAATATTAAATAATAACAAGAGCTACCGGAATATTAAAGCTTGCAATAAGTTAATTTCTAAGACTAGCATCAAATACCAGGGTCATATTAATAATGGCAATAATGATATTTTTAGTGACATCACTGTGTTGGAAGGTGAACATCATTATCTATAAGTCACTACTCACCTTTAGCCTCACGTTCTTTAGCCTCCAGTTGCTCGAGGTAGGTGTCAAGAGATACTACCTCTTCAGTTTCTGGGTTATTCAATGTGTCTACAAACTTCAAATAGTCCGGGTCTGTAAAACATGTAAAACAAACACATTAAAATTCAAGGCCAGATGCAGTTACGTAATTTTTATTAAATTTTTTCCATAATTCTTACATCAAAAATTCCTATTGAGCACCAATATAGGCACATTTTTTTCAATGTATTTAAAACTATTATTTTCAACAGATCTTAATTGCTCAGCATGGCATGTCAAATAACAAGCCAATCTTTATTTATACATACAAATGCATCCTGTACAGTATTTTTACTATAGGCTACCCAATTTTACCTTTTTGATAACAACCGTTGTTTCCAAATTCAAACCAATGAGAGACAATTATACAAATTTAGTGGTGTTTTAAAGATCCTGTACGTTGAAATTGAGGTTGTACACCACACTTAAGTAAAATTATATAAATGTATATAATTATGCTTATAAAACAGTTTTCAAACATCGAATAATATGTAAAATATGAACTGCAAAGATTTGTACATATTATATACAATCATTAAAATATAATTTTGGTGTTCACAAGGTGAAATATATTTCGATTTTACACTAAACTAAACAAATTTTCTTTTTATTACATGCAAGAAACGTTTTTAAAAGACATTAAACCTAATACTGAATAGAAAGCGCGCCAAATAATAATACAAACGTGACGTCATTTACGACGTCACGTCATTAAGTTGGTACCCAGTACTGTGCACGCTGGTATTTCACTGAAACAACGTAAGGGGCTTAAATTCAAAACAGTGAAATTATCAAAGTGGTAATTTCACTGTTTCAAACAGTGAAATTACTAGTTTTATTTCACTGATATATTTCTATAAACCACCGAAAAGCATGTAATAAATATATATATATAATTATGTTTATAAAACAATTTTCAAACATCGAAGAATATGTAGAATATGTACTGCAAAGATTTGTACATATTATATGTAATCATTAAAATATATGCATTCATTTCTTATTGAAAAATTTGACTTAGACTTTATAGAAAATAAATTTTTTATTACCTCTCTTTATTTACATGAAATGTTAAATTTGGTAATATCTTTATAAATAATGCTTTTGGAACTTACAAAATTGATAAATCTTAATTTGAGCATCATATTTATGATATAAAACCATAAAAAATTTGAGTTACAGGATCTTTAAAAAACACAAGTAATTACATTATAGAAATTTAGCAGCATAAGGGTTACAAGAACTATTATCAGAAAATTACATTATAACGAAACAGTGTCCACGGTTATAAAAAAATTCGCTAAGCTCAAACTCTGATCTCAGGAATCAGATTGGTCAGAAACTGCTATGTAATGTACACTAATCAGTGAAAACTAACAGATTTGAGACAGGAATTTAGTAAAGAAGTTTTATAACCTTGCGGAGACAACTGAAGAAGAATAACAAGAGCAAATAAGCTATTGTCTATGAAATAAGATATTTCTACCTTGTTCTATTGTGCCTTTTTTGGAATCAGGTTTCCTCATTTTCTTCTTTGGCACTTTTTGGAATGACGAAAATTCTACTATAGCTGGATATTCATTTCCTGTAATAATCAAGTAATTTTAGTTATGCATTCTTTTCTAAAATAAGGAATAAGGTCAGTCATAAATTAGTATTTTAAATGTAAGCATAATCCTTCAAACTGTCAATTTAAAAATGTAAACACTTCCTTGATAACATCAAACCGGGCATATAAACAAACAAATCCTAAAAATAATGGAAGGTACCATCAAAATTGAAAGTTTTGTAATAATAATACTGAGCTCAATGTAACAAGGTACAAGTGATAATAAAACTGGTTGGTACTTTATTAAGGAGCATGTTACCTTTGGCATCCACAAAAATATATCCATCAAATTTGTCTCGAAAATTCGCAATATCCTCATAGTTCTGAAAGTTTATATATGCTCGAGAAAAGGCATTAACACCAAGGCTGAAAACAGAGAAAAAAATTGACTTTTTAAATCTTTTATTTTTTTCCTTGAAAAGCATACAGAACTTCCCATTTTATTGTACAATCCAATTTATTATCTAGAAATAACTAGAACAGCTATAATGTGTTATTTGTTTGTAGATTCTTATTTCCCTAATCAGAACAAGAGGTCTATAAATGTTTATGAATCTGACATTTATTATCTAAGTTTCTTACATGCCATGGAAAAGTTAAATATAATCTACTCCAGATATATGTAACCAATTAAAAAAAAATTATGTCATGAAATTATAGGATTTTCTGGGGGAAAAAATAGTCAACAATCACAAAATTGTGAACTTTGAATATTTTAATTTTGATAGCATTTTGTGAAAGAGAGGAATTTATATTGATTGGAAATGTATTCCTATGACGGAAGAAAACACTGACCTTAAATCAGCTTTCATAAAATAGAAGAAATCATAGTTAGGTAGAGGTGACACTTGCTCTAAAAATGTTTCACCAGTCAATGATGGTGGTAATCTTCTTACAACAACCTGAAATAAAATTATAAGATTATAAGACTTTTTCAAACTTTTTTTTATGTGGATCACAATTCAAACTGGGAGATAATGAACACTGCAGTGTCTGTTCTAAGATGTACAACTGCAAGATTCCAGTGTTTATTAAAAAGATCCCAAGCTACATATACATGTAATTACAACCATGAGCATGAAAATCCTGCATAGACTCAGTTTATTAAAGGAACAAACAAATATAGCCTGGATGCAAATGCACATATTTTTACTTACTGATAAATAATAACTTCTTTCACTATATTGTTGTTGTATGCGCAGCACATGGAGTAAGTTTCAAAATTCAATAGAACAAATATAAATTACAATATTTGGCAAATAATCTTCACAAGTGCTGAAATTATGAAAATATTTCAGACCCTAATTTCATAGCAAATGACAAATGTAGCAGAATTTCCACAGCAACAGCCATTGGCAGATCATCTGAGTATATTGAGATATGACAAATGGTTAATGCATCGGACTAGTAATCAAATGATTGCTACCCGCATTGGTTCAAACCCCATAAGGGGCAAGTCCTTGTTTCCTTTTGCAAGAAACTTTAACACTCATTGCTCAGTAATGGTTGGTTCCAGGAACAGATTCAAAAGTGTGTCTATAAACTTAAAGCTTTCTATGCAATCAAACTAAAATAAATTCTAAGTTTGACGTGTGTTCTCCCCTTCTCTTGATTTTCTTGTTAAAATAAATTCTGTATAAACCAAATCATGGAAAAACTTTTTGTTATGAGGCTTAATATGGGGTACCAAAATTACCCAATAAGTTCAATGAAGAGAAGTACTTGTTTCCGTACATAAACTATAGCCCATAAAAATTATACAATATTGTTATAACAGTCCTATTTTTCATTGATAACCGTTGAAGAAACCATTTTTTCAGAGGTAAATAGATATATGTTATTCAGGAAATACAGCGTGGACTAAATACTAGTACTATTACATTAAGTATCATTATCCCAACGCCTTCACATGCAATGAAATGCTTGTATGCATGATACATTTAGTTTCCATGGTAATGCCCATTTATCTGTGCTTAGGTGGTATTATTGGAAACCCTTTCACAGGTCTCATATGTAAGTATAAACAAGGACAGAATCCCCCAATGTTAACAAGGTCACATTTTGACAACACACAGGTGAAAGTGATTTAAAACTGCTTCTGTACAAGAACTATTCGCATGCCAGTACAGTTGATAAAAAATTTTTGTACCATTAGTTAATTGTTTTTTTTCCCCTTTCTGGCACATCCCCCTTCTGGCAACCCCCTGATGTATCTTTTGGATGGGGGGCGGCGCCGAAAAAGTGCTCAATTTTTTAGTAACATTTCTCATACGAAAAACATGTGTTTGGGGCCCAAATAGGACATTTTTGTACTATTTGAGGCCTAAAAGAGGGGGGGGGGGGGGTCGAAAGTGCGTTGTTTCGCGTATATAAGAGGTAAAGGGTTAATCAACCCTTGAGAATTTGAGATATTTGATAAAAATTTATGCCATAGAGAAAATCCCCACTTTCCGACAGTGCTAGGTAAAGATATACTAAAAAATAAAGATTACTATTGGTTTTGCTTTTGAAACTGTTAAAATGCGGTACAAGTCAACCCAGCCCCAAGTCAACCCGGCCGCAAGTCAGCCCGGCCCCAAATTGGTCAACCCGGCCCAAAACCAATGTTATTTCTGGTCAACCCGGCCCCATTTTTTTAATTATTTATTTTGCTTTAAAATATAAACACTTATCAAGAAATGAAATAAAAATTAACAACAAAAACCGTCGCGAAAATAGGTGACGTATGTCTTCAACCTTAACCTCTCTACGATAGAAGTTTTAAGAAAAAACAAAACTTTTTTATTGATATATCATGGAAAAGAAACCTTAATGTGTTCAAATCATTACAATGTTATTGTATGTGAAAAAAAGAAATGACCAAAAGCACACTAAAGTGTTTCCATGAACAGTTTTTAAGTAAGATTAATTATAGAGATGCTGCCATCTATCACAGGTATCGCAGGTCACTGCCTCCTGGCTGTCACGCACAATATATCCACAATCAATACAGTTATCAGTCATAATGACATAAAGTGATTAAACACAAAACACTATCAATTTTTCAAACACTTAGTAATATTCCAATACTTTTTTACACAGTAAATATTCTTTGAAAATAAGTTAATAAAAAACGAAACAAATATTTATTATACTGATGAACGTATTCAATAAAAACATTCAAATGAACTGAAAAAAAGATTGTTGGAAACTTAATTTATACAAACCTTTTAACTCGAAATTCTATGCATTTCTTCCTAATTATCGCATTAACACTCACGAAACCATCTTTAATTTACATCGAATAAAGACATGAAAGATACTACCAACTTATTTAAAGGATTTGTTTTCACAGCTATACCATTTTAAACTGTTTGATTATCACATCTGAAATAATGTTGATGTACATATAATTGTTGATGTTATATAATTAATCATTTTTATTCCATCATACAACAAAATGACCTGAATAGTTTTCTTTGAAAATATATATTTTTGGGCCAGAATGACCGATTTTGGGGCCACACTGACCAATTTTGGGGCCGCATTGACCAAATAAAAATACTGTGGGGCCCGGTTGACCAATTTTGGGGCCGGGTTGACCAATTTTGAGGCCGGGTTGACTTGGGGCCGAGTTAACTTGGGGCCGGTTTGACTGTAATTCTTATAATGTAATTGCCTTGGTAATATGAGTATACAACTATACTCACTAAGCAGCAGATAGGTGTTAATTGCCAAGTTGTGTATGTCACAGTTCAGAGCTGTTCATTATTTAGGGGAGAAGATGTGTAAGCGGCCAGAAAGCTCAGTCGGTAGAGCAGCGGTACAGTATTCTGAGGGTCCCGGGTTAGAGTCCCGGTCAGGCTGCACATTTTCTCACCCTGCTACAATTGGCGTCCAACCGGGGACCGTGACTGAATATAGCTGAGAGTTTAATTCACATTGCTCTGTAACTCTGTGAAATTCATGGACAAATTTTAATAAAGCAGGGGAGTATGTCACGGTTCAGAACTGTTCACTATTATCTACATCTACATCGTACGTCAGCACAATCACACTTGATTATAACGCGACGGGTGGTGCAAGGTCAAGAAAAAGAAATATACAAGAAATGATAGAAAGTTAGAAGAGGTTGGATAGGTCAAAAGAAAGAGATATAGACAAAAAGTCTGGCCAGCTACATTTCGCCTCTTCAACCCAAACCTCTCCTGTTACAGTGGCCGTGGCCGGCACAGCCTTGGATATCACTAGTGGGTTCTTGTAGATGGCCCCTAATGGCGAATAAGAATGTGAGGGATGATAACCCCTGCTTGAAGGATACCAAGTCAGGGGCCTCTGCAACAGGGGCAGGTAGGCTGTTCCAGGTTGTGGCTGTACAAGGGAATGAGTTCTTGTAGTGGGAGAAGTTGTATAAGGGGCCGGATAGCTGAGCTGCTCAGTCGGTAGAGGCACGGTACGGTATTCCCAGGGTCCTGCGTTCGAGTCCGAGACTTTGGCTGTCACTTCCAAAATATTATGCTTTACTTTCTTTACTTATATAATGTGACTTCCAATGCCACACATTTTGCACTCTCAGACAGACTTCCAAATTTGGATCATGGAAGCCCTGTGTCTAATAGACTCTATGAAACGTAGACGGTTTGCATAGAATTTGTCTTGGACGACCAGACACTTATTTTCTGTTTCACTTAAGCATTACCTTTGTTGGTGGCAAGTCTTTTGGGCGTCGCTTGTCAACTACTTTTACTCTATTGTCGGTTTCTTGTGTCATTTTTTCCACTTTAATATTTTATTCTTAAATTTCTTTAATCTGGGTTTCCAAATGCTTGATTGATATCCAGTACACCACTAAATCATAATATTTCGGCTGAACACTACCATAATACAGTGTTTAGGTAGTGGCCAAACTGCTTATGTTTATTACCTAGGGATTTAGAAAAGAAGTGCTAGCTCCTATGGTTATGTCAAAGCTGGGAATACAATAAGCTTATTGTCGTCAGAGATAATATTATAATTATGATGTTTCATGTGACCTGATAAAATGTATTATTTCATGACAGTAATATAGCCCGGTGTTCAACTTAACGTTTATCAGAAAACATTTAAATATAAATATCATACGTGAATGACATTTTTGTTCTATTTAATAAGTGAAATTTTTCCAAAACTGTCAAAAACTTATTTCAAATGATCAAATTAAAATGTTATTTTACAAACTATTTCCATTGCCTGCCATTTTGATTTTAGAGTCCTGAGATGGATATATAGATGGGTGGACATACGATACTTTATGTCCCAGATTGCTCATACTTGGAAACAATATTCATTTGGTTAGAAAAAGTCATGCACTGAAACCATAGTTCTTTTTTGATCCATAACATCGCCAGAAAAATAAAAACTATGATGTTCCTGATTTGATATTGTATATATTTGTATAATGCGAACTGGAACTTTGCAGGTTGCTGGAAAAATAATGCATAACAACCTGGTCGTGCATGCACGAGATTCTTTTCATGTGTGTGGGTCGTACAAGTTGCTTATTTTATGGAATATTTGTTTTAGTCTTCTTAAGATTTGTACATAGGCCTACATGTACTCTAGGTAATTCACGTACCTAGTTCTATGTAAACATGTTGGACCAATATATCATTAAGGCCACACGTGAAGCATAATTATATCAACAACAATTTCACTGTCGTATGCCAAGATATAAGGCTTAAAGCCACAATCGTATGCAATTAATAGAATAGAAAGTATCATAGTTAGTTTTTCGAAGTTACCTCCCTTTTACTCGTGTACGCCATTTGTCAATTTGTTACAATAATTATTATATAGTGTCTCTCTTATTATATATCGTCACTTCGTCAGGTACTGTATTTGTGTCCCAATTGAAAAGTGGCAGCATACAGTGATAGGATTTGTCCTGATTTTATTGCATAATAACACGCACCAGGGGCGTAGCTAGGGCTTGATAAATTATACGCAAAGCGAGGCACGAATGTATTCCAGTTTCATCTCATCAACCACTAAATGATAGTCACGTAAAACCTCACACAATTTCAAGCTAATAATAGCAAAGATTTGACTGGATTATCTCCCTTTGAACATTTATTAAATAACGTTTTTTACATCTGAATGACAGATCAATAAGGTTGTAATTATAGGTCACTGACCAACCCTGTTATTGCAGCATTGGTTAATAACTAACTTAATATTGAATTATTTTCCCTTTATATTATAGTGGAGCATGCTGTCAATTTGACAACTTATTTTATTGTTATTTTTGTCAATTTTTATTTCCTTAAGATATAATTTCCTCTATTTATGGTTTTTAAAGCATCCCTATGGCCTTGAATAAGCTATTTAAATGAAAATTACAGATAATTCTTGCTTTTGGAGTTAACTGGTTCAAATGCCATTCTGAGGCAAAGCAGTGTCTGTAATAATATTTAAAGTAAAGTATAGAAATGCAAGGGTCAAGTTGCCCCACTTAATAATAAACAAATTTCTGAAGTCCTAAAGCGGTGTTTAATATCATTTTTCGGAAGCTATTTGTACCAATAGTTGTTATCCACAACTCGCCAAAATTAATGTAGGTTTTTCCAACTTATCCCCATTTACGAACAAACTTTTAACTGTAATAGCTTCACAGAGCTCTACCATTTACAATTATAGATAAGTCAACCAGATGTACTTATTTTTGAAACTGTACTTTTTAAAGTTTGTTTGTACCCAGTGCAGGATTAGCCTGGAAAACCAAAAATATTCTTAAATCCGGAGAAAGTCTATCATCATAATAATCTTTATATAGTAAGGTTTCATTACCATGCTAAAATTAAAATTTGTATAAGAGTTTTGACATGTTTTTTTTGAAATTTGGAAGAGTCTTTTAGTTTATTGTTAATATTAGGGGTTCTGGTATCAAAATACTGAAGCAATGTACAGTTAGGGGTGGTATTGGGAATATGGGGCATTAATTGACAAGTCATTATCAATTACCTTTCAAGGGATTAAGGCATTACCAAAGATCAAGGTTATATCAAGGTTATATGTCCCGTTAAACCATAATTGACAGTAAGACTCCTGTAGTTTGAGTCATGCACATAAAGTTTTTGTTCTGCATCACCTTAACAGCAATGTCAATAATAATTGCATCTTTGTGCACAATTAATTCACTGATGTGTATTGATTGAGGTTAATTAAAGCTACACACTCATACAATGAAGGAATACTTGTAGTTCAGTGTTTTTAGTTCTTGGTACTCAGGTAGAAAAGATATTGTATAAAATAATTCAGGATGCTGGCCGCTTGTATACATTGTACAAGTATCATTTGATTTTGTGCAATTTTGGAAAATTTTAGAAATTAAAGTTTATCTACTTGTTTTAAATTTCATAGTAAGGATAATTTTGAACATAAAGCTGGAAAGTAATTCTGAAGTGTGGCAAATTTTAATGCTCCTTGATTGATAGATTGGGAGTCATATTGGTTTTTATTTGTTCGCATGTTTGTCTGTCTGTTTGTTACAAAATCAACTTTAATAATCTTCACCGTAACAGAGAAGTTCTTTCACCTACAGCTTTGAGACTTCATAAATGCATGTACCTTGATGAGGTGACAGTAGTCTACCACAGACTCACTAAGAGGTCAGGGGGTCAAGGTCACCAGGGTCATGGTCTTAAATTCTACCTGTAATTACAAGCGGACAAGTGGAATTTTTTATCTATGTATTTCACAAAATATTCATTAAATTGTATTTATTGACAAAGTTATTCTTAAATGTAATTTAGCACTTGTCAAAATGCGTCTTATTTAACCTTTAACCTACAGTATACAACAGATTTGCTGAATTTTGGGCAGTCCGTTCAAAGTCTTAACAGATTTCAAAATATAAATACAGAAAATGAAGTAACTAACAGTAAAGAGCCCATTTAGACTTAAGGGATGTGCAGGCTGACCTGACTGTGTACTTCTGGCAAAGACTTATCATTTTCAGATCCATTACAATAAGAATAAACATATATTATAGTACAATATCAGTAATCTTGTACAGATGGTCTTTAACTCCAAGGTTTTACTGTATTTTAATTGACTTTTATAGATTTCTGGCATGTAGTGATTTTTATTGATCGGCTGATGCTCATTGAACCGTCTGCTGTATAAAGTAAAATCTGAGTAATTCAGTCGCGGTCTGTTTCAAAATTATACCATTATATCAACATTACATTACACTGAGTGGATAAATACGAAACATTTGGAACTACTTCACAGGTTTTGTGCTATTTACGATTGTAGGATATGAAGATATACTTCTGTGGGAGTATCTATGGCGGACGTCAGGATGCCGAGTTATATACCCGCTTGATTGAACAGCTGAAAGGTTATGGAACAGTTCTCACTGAACATGTTGGCTCTAAGGAACTAACTGATGGTAATGATTTACTTGTTGTTGTTTTTTTAATGTGAAACCAAAATAAAAATATTGTTTTAAACCATGATTAAGTATTGGTATTTGAGTACAAATTAATCTATTAATTAGTCAACCCATATAATTTTTTAATTAATCAGTCAACCCATGGAATTTTTTTCCCAACAAAGATCTAACCTTGCCCTGGTTGGCTTTTTTTTACATTGCCCTGGTTGGCAGATTTACTTGTATACAGCAGAGATCTTATCTTGCCCTGGCTAGCTAATTTATACCTTGCCCTGGTTAGCTAATTTATACCTTGCCCTGGTTAGCTAATTTACTTGAATACAGCAGAGATCTAACCTTGCCCTGGCCAGCTAATTTATACCTTGCCCTGGTTAGCGTATTTATACCTTGCCCTAGTTAGCTAATTTACTTGAATACAGCAGAGATCTAATCTTGCCCTGGCTAGATAATTTATACCTTGCCCTGTTAGCTAATTTATACCTTGCCCTGGTTAGCTAATTTACTTGAATACAGCAGAGATCTAACCTTGCCCTGGTTAGCTGATTTATACCTTGCCCTGGTTATCTAATTTACTTGAATACAGCAGAGATCTAACCTTGCCCTGGCTAGCTAATTTATACCTTGCCCTGGTTAGCTAATTTACTTGAATACAGCAGAGATCTAACCTTGCCCTGGCTAGCTAATTTATACCTTGCCCTGGTTAGCTAATTTACTTGAATACAGCAGAGATCTAATCTTGCCCTGGCTAGCTTATTTATACCTTGCCCTGGTTATCTAATTTATACCTTGCCCTGGTTAGCTAATTTACATGAATACAGCTGCAGAGATCTAACCTTGCCCTGGTTTGCTAATTTACTTGAATGCAGCAAAGATCTAATCTTGCCCTGGCTAGTTAGTTTACATGTATACAGCAGTCTGGATTGGTAAAGTATGAAAATTGTTAATATTTGTATTTTGTACCTGTTTGCACTATTATAATGTTAGCAAATTTGCAAAGTAAAAATGAATCAGAAAATATTTTTATGCATTAGGATTTGATTGAAACATGGTTTCTTTATTTCAGAACAAAAAAAGTGGACAGACAAAAATATTCATGACAATTCTTTAGAATGGTTGACAAGCTGTGATGGTAGGTTTTATTTATATGCCCAATTCTTAAAAAGTGAGAAACACACAGTGATGGTGTGGTCCTGACTAATTCCTGTTAGTCTTGTATGATCAATTTCTTGTATGATCAATTAAAGATATAGTATGGTGAAATTTGATATTTGAAAAAAAACAAACTGATAATTACTATGCGTCTTTTTGAAATGTGAAACGTCTTTAGAATTTACACAGAGAAAATATGCTACAATTTAAACTCTACACACTACAGATAATCAAAGTATACTCGTAATTATATAGTGTCATTAAAAAAATGGCAGTTTTTATAAGAATAGACCAAAATAATTTGACAAGTAATAGGGAATGCAGCTTCCCAAACATAGTTTGTTTATACATTCACTTATTCAGATTAGACATATTCAGGAAGAATTTACTAGATTTCAATAAATATCTTTAAACTGATGACAACATTGAGCATTCTTGAAAAATTTCTATTTCAATTTTTTTTTTTCTAAATTTCAGTTGTGGTTGCCGAGGTAACACAGCCATCACTAGGGGTTGGTTATGAGATTGGTAGAGCTATTGCCATGAATAAAAAGATACTGTGCTTGTTTAGACCATCTTCAGATAAACGTATGTTAAACCAGGACTTACTGCCATGTTGATTTTCATGTTAAAATTTTTATTCTCTATATCTTTTGAACAGTTTGTAGGGTTTCTGACAATGTGAGATAACATTACACAGATAATTTGCCCTTACTAAATGAAAATTAAACTGCAGTCTTTATCACTTTTACCAGAGATGTAGATTAGCAAACATGCATGATATCTTAACTGGCTAGAAAATTTGCCTACTGTATCTCTGTTATCTATGTCTCTGCTATTACAAGGCCATCCAAGCAGTTTGTCTATGCTGTATCATGTAATTATACTGTTCACTGACAAGCTTCTATAAATTGGTTGGTAGTCCATCCGCCCTTTCAGGCTTTTAATGCAGCTATTTAGTAAGTACGGACCCCGGGCATGTCACCAGTAATGCCCTTAAAGAGTTAATTTTGATGCATAAAATAGTGATAATTTACCTCCATGCAATTTCTATGGAGTATTAGCTAAAGATATGAATTTTGAGTCAAAGGTGGTCACTGCGGCCAATGAGAGCCTAAATGTACAATAACCTGAGAGAATATGAAAATGAGGTAGCCCTGAAAAAAGGCTGTAATGCCAGCAAAGGGCCTGCCTTTTAAGCTGTCACTCTTTGTGCTAGGGGCTCACGCACCTTAGCATACTGGTCTTGTAGTCCCTGTCTACTTAGTAAGGCTGCTCCCCTTGGCATTTGTCAGGACATCACCAGCTGGTCTGCAGGATACAAGTTTTCTTTTATGCCATCCCAAGTTAATTATATCTTCTGCCGATGCCCTGTGCCTTCTCTACGATGTGCACGCTCCAAGGGGAAGAGAGAAGCTAATGTTTGCCTTCTCATTTTATCACATGTACTTCTCTTACAGGATTTAAAAGGTCAAAAGGGAAAGTTTCCATAATATATCAGACAGGAAAAGAAAGAAATGGTCCCACCCTCTGCAAATTTTTCATAGAGAGTGAAACACCATTTCTGTAAATAACTTATTAAATATTCCCCTTCCACCTGCACCACTACAATTTTGTTATATAAAGAACGAAGAAAATACTCTCCTTCTGTGTTATGTTTTAGGTCTGTCAGCAATGATATCTGGGGCAGACAATGGATCAACAGTGCAAACAAAACACTATACAGAACAAGAGGCTGCAAAGATATTTAAAGACTTTTTTACATGAAAAATTGAAAAATTAATTTCTTATCTATTATAATTATGTCTTCATTCTTCTTTCATGCAGTTAAAATGTTAATAAATGAAAAAGCCATAGGATTTCGCTGAAATGCAGATGTTTAAAGTCTCAGTCTAGCTAAAATACTAATGAGCCGCGGCACAACAAAACCAACATAGTATGTTTGCGACCAGCATGCAGTCTGATCAGGATCCATGCTGTTCGCTATCAGTTACTCTATTTGCAATAGGGTTGGTAAGCGAACAGCATGGATCCTGATCAGACTGTGCGGATGCACAGGCTGGTCTGGATCCATGCTGGTGGCAAACGCACTATGTTGGTTTTGTCGTGACGCGGCTCAATTATGCTTTTATATGATAAATCTGTTGCTCAATAGAGAATTACAGAAAGCTTGTGAAGTTGTCTTATATAGATATGGTCAAACATAACAATTTTTGCAAATAAAGGGAGGTAAATGCTTTGTCTGTTCTGCAATAAAATAATATGTATTTTTACTAGCAACATTATAATCAATTAAAGAAACAACTGTGATATAAATATTACATTTTTTGTATGTTTATAGGTACATGTACTCATTTTGTTGTCAGGAATCAACCCAAACTTTATAATTTTTGTGTTTTCTATATCTGCGATTTTTAACATACAGAATCTGTAATATCAGAACTACAAGTTCAGCAGCAAACAGTATAGTCCTTCATTGAAAGACATCACATTTTCTTTTTTTTTACAGTTTGACATTTATCGGAAAATGTGAATTTAAAATTAAAGTTAAAGCGGATTTGACCCATGTAAAAAATAGATTCAAATCCGCGGTTACGTCTAAATATTTGGACAACAAACAGTGCAGAGCTAGGTCAGACTTCACTTTTGTCTAGACTGGCATGACTCTATACTGGTAAGGGTTCAGAAATTCTGATCATTTTAAATAACTTGGGAACATCAAAACTGTGTTTGCTAAAATCACTTTTATTTTGATGTTTTTTCCCAATGAGGTCAACGAATAATTGTATGTTAAGTATAATTTTTGTTTCCTCTAAAAGCAATATATATAAGTGCTTTTGTAGTTAGAATATTCGCTATATCAGATGAATGATTGCATGCCAAAAGTAAAATGTTAGTCATAATTTGTTTGTCAAACTTTAAATGAGGACGATTCAAAGAAAAAAGTATGTACAAGACTGCAATGATGTATTTACTGCAGATTGAGATTTTTTTTTGCCACATAACTAAAAACGTCACAAAATTTTTCTGACATGACTTATATGAGAAATTAAAAATTTCATGATATAGTGTATGGAATTTTCAGGAATTTCAGTAAAATTTGCTTAAAATACTCAAACCTTATATGTTTTTCAAACTCATGAAATATATATGCCATTATGTTTTAGTGTATGACACTGTTTGACTGTTTTAGTGTATGACACTGTTTTGACTGTTTCTTTCCTGCCATACTGATCATGGTTCTATTCCTGATCACTGCTGTATTTTTTTGAATGAATAATTGTTTATTTAAATAAAGTTTACAGTTTATGTAATAGAAAGAGCACCGAAACACGAGGCTATCTGATTTGTACAAGGGGGCGTAGCCCCCGAGTATTTATCAGATTGCCGAGTGTTTTGGTGTTCTTTCTCTTTTGTATCATAGTCAAACATAAAAGCACGTTCCCTGTTGTCACAATATGAAACCCCGGCAAAAATGAACCAATGAACGAACATCTGAATATGACATTTCTGTCGCTTTCCCTTTCTCTGCCGTCAAAATATGTAAACCCCAGCAAAAATGAGCCAATCAATGGGCATGCTCTGGAGTGCGGGTAACTAATACCCGCACTCCAGTTAACGCACTGTGCATGTGTATGTATATGATTTAACCCTGACACATTTTCAACAGAAAGGTCTCCAAACTATGATACAATATATATTTATAAATGAAGAATTTAAAAAATATTGAGGAAATAAAATGCATATTTTCATTACAATTATTTGTATTACATATTTTCACTGTAAAAATTTATTTTTCACTGCAGTGAAACATATTTTCACTGGTAACTTGCCAGACTACTTTCTTCTAAATTCAGCCAATTCATAAAATCAAAGTGGAGTTGTTTTGAATTGTAAGGTCTAAAAAGAGAAAAAGTTTATGATAAACAGAAAATTCAAGAACAGGATTTATTTTCATCTCAATGGTATGAAAATTATCATATTTCACCCATGACTACCACTACTTGTGAAATATTTATTTTCATATCTATCAATGAAAATAAAACCTGTATATGTGGAAAAAACTTGAATATCCTCTATTTATGCAGACTGGAGAATGATTCTTTATCAACGATATAAAAAAAGTATTTTCTGGGTTACTCCGCAAATGATATTTAATATAAAGAATTTTTACCTATTTTAGTTCATATGTTTATTGTAGGTAATTGTATGAACTTCATTTCAGTGTTTTTCTTTCCGGTGACTTTATCGAATCATAGAATAAGAAATACATGTAGAGCATTGTAAGGTATATGTGAACCGTTGGTTATTTTGGATCGCTTATCATTATAACGTTTAGAAGTATAATTCCATTAAGTTCTTTAATTAGAAATGAAAATCAATCATATTCTATTCTGCTGGCTTCAACCTAGTGCCTGTACATTAAGTGAATATTATTATTTTTTGCATGATGTGAAATTTAGGAGAATCATGCCACTGTTTTATATAATAAGCTTCAGAAAAAATTGCCAATATTTAAATTCATAAAACCTGTTTATGATATATTTTGTAGAAGTAAACTATAAATCTAGGATGAAAAAAGTCCCCTGATCATAATGTGAGCATATTTTAGTTGTTAATACTACTTGATTCATCATAAAATGTGGTTCCAAAACTCCCGATAACATTTTATTGATGTAGGGTGTTTTGGGACACGTGAATATCAAATGTTTATTATGTTATTTGATATTATAGAAACGTATCATGAACTCAGTGAAGGTGTGTTTGTATGTCAGATATGTTTTTAAAAAACGGAACAAAAAACATCTTAATCCAAAATTATAGAAAGGGCAGAGAAAATGAGGATAAAACAAATTGACTCAGACTTAAAGAGGGAAAAAACTGAAAAGGGAACCTGACTCCTTAGAGATTATGACATATTAGTTTATTGTGATGACAATAATCTTGCAGATATGGATACTAGCATTACACTTAAACATGCTACTCATGCATTTGTTACATTCCTTTTCTTATTAAAAGTGCTATATAATATACATGACCATCACGTTTAAAGCATAGCACAATATATGGTATCATAGTACAAAATGGAGACAAGGAAACGAGGAATTGCTGATTTGACGTTTATTGTCCAAGAATAGCGCTAATTAATGCACCTTTTCCATGCATTAACATCTGCAGAAGCCCTCAGACATTTTAAATCCCTCACTGTGCTATCTCAGACTTTGAAGATGTAAATGCATACAGAAAGGGGCATTAACCCTCTTACAGTACTTAATCGAAATGAACAGATAAAATAGACCATTTGACCCCACATACTCAATAGATCTATAAAGCATCATAAAATAGTATTATATTTGATTTTGACTTTTTATTTAAAAGAAATTTTCAATCAAATTGAACTATGCAAAATAAGGTACTGCTCTATGGTTTGTTACAAAATTTTTACACTAAAATTAATGGGTCCCAAAATGCCCTTCTTTCTGTCCATAAATACCGACGTGTCCCAAAACTGCCTCCTCATGCTCTTCTGTTTAACAAGGTATATCACGTTTGTTTTGTATATGCTTATGATAGTGGCCCATTATAGACGATAGTCAAACAGAGCTTAACCTAAATATCCAATGCCAATACTGAAACAAGCATATTAAAAATCACAATAACAAATATGCCTTAGATGTCCCAATATACCCGACATCGCTCTAAGTAACTTCTGTTGCTCACCAACCTAGGTAAACTTCATGAATTTCTGTGACAGAACATATAAAATAAAGAATGATGTAATTTTGTGAACTCCCAAATATAAGTGAAAAAAATCTCATGAATATTTCCCAATATACAGTACATAATCAACTAAACATATCACATCTTTAAATCAGGGACCTAAGTATTTAAATTTAAAACTACATTTAAATGTGTGTATAGTCTTTATATAATGTATCTAGGACATTTGATATTTACTTTTTGAGAATTTTACTATTCATATTTTTCATATTTTTACCAAAATGATATTATTTCAGGTATTATTTGAATTTGTTTTTACTCTGTTTTTATTATGTTTTATATTATTCTTTTGACTTGAACACTTAGTTCTCAGGTAATTGTTGAGTCCTGGCCGGGTTTGTTTCTACAAATTTTTAAGTTGCCACTTTCAATTAAGTCTTGACATTCAAAATTGCTTCCCTTCAATAAATCTTAACAATTTTTAGGATATCTTCATTTTCAAACTGTATTTTGATATTATTTGTCAAATTTAGATGTGCTTACTATTTGTTTTATCAAATGTTAATAATATTTATGAAGTTACCAATTGCTATTCACTCAAGTAATAGTAAGTTTTATTTTATATCAACTCTCCTAAAATTCTTAAATGGACTTGTCCTGCAGGGGTTTTCAATGTTTTATTTTGAGCAGCCAGGAGACTGCAAAATCATTATTGTTCGTGAGGCACTAATTTTCGTGGTTTTGACTGATATACTTTAGTAAAAAAATCAAAATAAAATTGTCCACATGCTTTTGAATAATAAATTAGAGAGAAAAAAAATCAATTATCTTGTATTTTTATTTCCGTGAACCATACAACCTCAGTTGAGCAACAACTTTTGGGAGAGAAAAATTTGGTTGTAGCTGAAAGATGTTGCTCTAGTCAGGGTGATTTAATATGAGAAATAATGAATGAGCCCGGCCACAACAAAACCAACATATTGGGTTTGCAACCAGCATGGATCCAGACCAGCCTGCGCATCCGCGCAGTCTGATCAGGATCCATGCTATTCGCTATTAATTTCTCTACTGGTAATAGAGTTGATTGAGCGAACAGCATGGATCCTGATCAGACTGCGCAGATGCCCAGGCTGGTCTGGATCCATGCTGGTCGCAAACTCATTATGTTGGTTTTGTCGTGACACGGCTCAAATTCTTGTAAAGAGGTAACTGCTCTACAGAGGTCATTACGCTGCAGGGTTTGCACTGTGTATTGTATACCATTTAGGGGGGTCTGTGGCCGAACGGTTAAGGTCATTGACTTCAAACCACTCGCCCCTCACTGTAGTGGATCTAATCCCAACAGCGACTTTGATTTTTAAATGAGGAAACTAGGACTACTATGGTTCTTCTCAGGTGCCCATTTGTGCCTAAAATAATATACAGGCACTTAAGGTCTTCCTGCACCAGTGAAGGTGAAAGTTGCCATAAGACCTATACTGTACTGTGTTAGTGTGACATAAAATCCACCTGGGTGACCCCCCCCCACTTTCCCTTCCCAAATTTTTTTATCCCATTTAACACTTGTTGCCAGTTTTATTAAAATATTGTATCAAGACAGCTGGGTTGTATTTTACTTCAAGCATATGTAGCATTAAGATGTAGTGATGGACAATAAAAAGTGAAATACTCATTATGTTTTTATAGTTTATTGAATCAATAAAGAAAAAAACAAGGAACATCGCAATGCGATGCAACCAGGTTTTCAGCAAAATATTTCACAGAAGCTTCGTCATGCAGGGGCATTTGTTTTAAAGTGAACACCTGCCCGCCCACCCAAAATCACAAAACCCCGATGATATGCACAAGGACTCTTGATGAGAAAGCTTCTGTGAAAGTTTGTCAAAATAGTTTGTAGGAATAGGTGTGCAAATAAGAATTTGTTCACTTTATATTCTATATATGGAACAAAAACAATATATTTCTATATAAGGGAAAAAAATAAATGGCAATAATTAGGTCAAACATTATCAAATCTCATAACCCTGACAACATGCAGCAAGAGTTGATGACAAAGCTTCTGCCAGAGTTTTGTCAAAATCCCTAGAGAATTGTAGGAGTTGCGCACAGAATTGCGCAGAGAAGAAGTGTTCACTATATATATTCTGTATAAGGAAAAAAAAACAAAGGGCCATAATTAGGTAAAAAATTATCTAATCACAAAACCCCGACAATATGTGCTATGGCACTTGATGACAAAGCTTCTGTGAAAGTTTGGTCAAAATCC